TTCCTTTTTCGACCTCATTTGGGATTACGAGCAAAGTATCATGCTGTATGTATCTTTTACTGTGGTTTTCTATCCTGACTTTTTATATGAGATTGTGCAGCAAATTAGTTGACTGTAAATGCTTTTGTTATATATATGTAGGTAAATTTCTTGAGCCAAATGCGCCTCAGCCAGAAAGGAGATGGACCGCAAGTGGCCAAACGTCTGATAGATGTGTACTTTGCATTGTTCAAGGTATTGGCAGAATTAGTTTCTACTTCAGTTGTTTAATATCAATCTTTGCCTCTATTCTAAATATTTGGTTAAATTGAAATTTAGCAAACATAAAAAATTTCCGATTTCCATCTTGAAGTTTGAGTGATTTTAGAAGTCCTTGTTATCAATGGAATTATCTAATCATATGATGCTTGACTGCTTATTGGACCATCAATGGCTAATTTGGTACGCATGACAGATAAATGAAAAAATAAGGTTGATTTATTTGTTGATCCAATCAAATCATCTCAAATATCTAGTTTCATTATTTGGGACTCATCGTATGGTCATTTGAATAAAATGGTTTGTATGTAATCATTGCAGGTATTGGTTGCTTCTGAAGATCAAAAGAAGCAAAAAAGTGGCGAAGAAGACAAGAAAAAAGCTTCAAGGTCTTCAAAAGACATACAAGCAAAAAATCCTTTAGAATCTCATGTCGAAATGGATTCTAGGATTTTGTCTGCTCTTCTAACAGTTAGTATTCTGTTTATTTTCTTCAAAAAGTACACATTTTCTACAGTCAAATTCGATGTTTTTTTCTTCCTGATACTATTTTTGGGAGTTCTCTCTCTGTTCTTGTTTTGAACTTTCTCACTGTGGGGATGTCTTATAGGGAGTAAATAGAGCGTTTCCCTTCGTCTTGAGCAAGGAAGCTGATGACATCATTGAGGTCCAATCGCCAATGCTTTTCCAGCTAGTAAGCTCGACGACATACTTCAATTTTATTTTAAGCTTTTTGGGGTACATTATCAAAGTGCTCAAGTTTCAGTAAACACCTGCCTTTTCAGGTTCATTCAAAGAATTTCAATGTAGCAGTTCAAGGATTTATGCTTCTTGATAAAGTATCATCCAAGAATCAGATTGTCAGTGATCGCTTCTACCGTGCCTTGTACTCGAAATTATTACTTCCAGCTGCCATGAACTCTTCTAAGGCAAGCAATTCCTTTCTTTTTTAACTTTGGTACTTGCTGATTCTTACTTTGGAAATTTTAACAGCGCTCCATCATTATCATAATTTTACATACCCAATCTTTTTCTACGAGTATCCAAATTTGAAAAAGGTCTTCATTGATTTATTTTCAGGCTGAAATGTTTATTGGACTTCTTCTGAGAGCAATGAAGAATGATGTGAACTTGAAGCGTGTGGCTGCTTATGCGAAGCGTATCTTGCAGGCAAGTTTCATTCTCTCTTTCTCTTTCTTCCAATGTTGTTTACATTTTTGTTCTTGGGAGTTTAGATTTGTTTTGTAATTACTATATCTCAATCTATGATATGATGATCAGGTTGCTCTTCAACAACCACCTCAATATGCATGTGGATGCCTATTTCTCCTTTCGGAAGCTCTTAAAGCTAGGCCTTCTTTATGGTAATGCTGTTTGTTTCCAAGCATCGATGGATCGATTATTCTAAGTTTGAGTTTAATGAGTAATAATATTCGTCCATTTCAGTTAAATCTAATACAGTCTTGTTTTACAGGAATATGGTTCTCCAGAATGAGTCAGTTGATGATGAACTTGAACATTTTGAAGATGTAGTTGAAGAAGAAAATATAAAGGAAACAAGCACCGAACTAAAAGAACATAAAGATGATGTCAAGCTTGTTCGTGGCAGTGATGCTGCTTCCTCCGAAAGTGATTCTTCTGACGAAGAGGATGAGTCACCAGTCTCTCATTCTGAAGACGAAATGTCAGATGATGACGGGGATTTGCTCATGAGAGATGATTCTAAAGACACTGCTGAACCTGCCATAAAAAAACCTGGTGAAAACAAGCCACAGTCTCACACACCTTGTAAGGGGCTGTCACTTCCTGGAGGATACAATCCACGGCACAGGGAGCCATCTTACTGGTAACTTGCTTTCTCAACAGCCATCATTTTGAATGCTGAATCTAATGAAGATACAGTTTTCACTTCTAATTCTTTTGTTCATTTTCGCCAAGTGTCGACTTTCGCTCACTAGTTCTTAATGAACCACCAGTAATGCAGATCATGCAAGCTGGTGGGAGCTTGTAGTTCTAGCTTCTCATGTGCACCCTTCTGTCGCTACCATGGCTCAAACGCTTCTTTCCGGTGCTAATATTGTCTACAACGGGAACCCACTGAACGACTTATCACTTACAGCTTTCTTGGACAAGTTCATGGAGAAGAAACCAAAAGCAAGCACATGGCATGGTGGCTCCCAAATAGAACCAGCCAAGAAGGTGCTCATTTGACTTCGTTATTATACAGTTTTTTGCTTCTGATGCTTTCATGTTCTTTAATCCTGTCGAGTGACTTCACAAAATGAATCGGATTTCGGTAGCTGACTCATGTTTTGTTTTCCTCAGTTGGACATGAACAACCATTTAATTGGACCTGAAATCTTGTCATTGGCCGAGGAAGATGTGCCACCAGAAGATCTTGTGTTCCACAAGTTCTATACGTTCAAAATGAACTCCTCAAAGAAACCGAAGAAGAAAAAGAAGAAAGGAGCAGATGAGGAAGCTGCAGAAGATTTGGTTGGTGAGGCTGACTACAATGATGATGCCGCCGAAGATCTGTCCGATGTTGACATGGTTGGTGGGGATGAGAGTGATAACGAAGAGATCGAGAACTTGTTGGACTCTGCCGATCCTTCTGGTGAAGCAGATGGTGACTATGACTATGATGACTTGGATCAAGTTGCTGATGAAGATGATGAAGACTTGATTGGTAATATGAGTGATGAGGAGATGGATATTCACTCCAACATTGCAGGTGGAGAAGATTTAGGTTCTAGTGATGAAATGCTAAGCGGTGATGACGACATAGGACGGGATTCTGACGACGAACCCAAAAAGAAGAAGAAAACAAAAGCATCCCCCTTCGCAAGCCTTGAAGATTACGAGCACTTAATTAACGAGGACAATACTCATAAAAAGAACTCTACTAAAACGAAGTCAAAGTCGTTGAAGTCAAAATCAAATTCGAAAGCAAGGAAGAGGAAGAGAGGCTCTCGCCAGTAGTAGGTAATTCCTATTCTTTCTTCAGCTCCCATCCCCCATACAAACACAAAATGATAGAAACTAGTAAAATTCTTTATATTCGATTTTCGCTCAAATCAACCCGAGCCCGCATGACCATGTTGGTTGTTTGGCTCTTGATATCAGGTTTGCCAAGATATTCTCTATCAGAAATTTGTTGTCTCCTATGATTCCTAAATCTCGATTGATTTTGTCTCAACGTCTGAAATTTTTGTTTGTTTCTTTCAAATTCATGAAACCCATATTACTGATTGATTGATCTCCAAGATTCCAAGCTGCAATCTCTGATTGATTGATTGATCTCCAAGGAGATAGTTTTTTGTTTTGATATGATGATCAGTTCAATGATTGGATCGAAATGATCTTGTTTTGATATGATGATTAGTTCAATGATTGGATCGAAATGATCTTGTTTTGATATGATGATTAGTTCAATGATTGGATCGAAATGATCCCAATCTATTGTATTGGGACCGAGCTGTAAAGTTCCGTGACCAAACAAACACAGAATAAGGATAGGAAGGGTTTTAGTTAAAAAAGAAACAAAGGAGGGGGCGGCATTGTTTGTGCTTGATGAAACATAGGTGGCAGAACCATCGCTTTGTATATTGGATAACACCTTGTCACAGATTACTCTTTACATTACATCCATTCAACTCCTCTGCTTTTTTTGTCCCTTTTATTGTCTTCTTCATTTGGACCATTCAAGGAATGCCCTTTATATTTGTGTCTAAAACTTGGCTTTCACTGCTGACAGTGTCTCCATATGATTAGCTATGGAGGTGAGTGAGGGCTTTCCAGGGTTGGATTTGTTGTGCAAGCAACGTCGATGTTGAACCGAACTAACTTGGAATGATGAATATCGTTATCGTTCTTTCGGTTTCAGCCAACCTGTAGGGTTAGGAATCCAAACTCAAGACGGGATGAAAGTTTTTAACCCGGATCTTGCATTGTAAAATTTGGTGTCGGGTTGCCGATAATTGGGAGAAGGATTCCATATTTACTTTAGTTGATGTGTCACTAAGTCAAGACAAAACAAAGGACAATTCTATTAGATCTAAGAAGTATCTCATATCAAGAAATTCTATGACTTTAAATCTTTAATATTATCTTATTTATTACCTATGTCTATTATTTAGGCAGAATACCGTCATTCGCTCTTACTAAAAACTTGAAAGAAATGGAGGAAACGTACGAGACTAAACAAGTACAAGAGTACAAGAGGGATCCAACCTGTTTTTCATAAGATGGATTTGAATGATGTTTAGTGGGAAAAATGAATAAATAAATAAAAACATTAAAAATAAAAAATAAAAACAAAGAAAAAAGGGGTTGAATTAAAGGCAACCAATTTTTTTTTCCAACATTCTTTTTTAATTATTATTATTTTGCATGATTCCTTTTTCTTAAATATTATATAATTCCTTTTTATTTTTAATTCCCTTTCAATTTTCAACGACAACGCGGATTAATAATTTAATTAATTTTTAAATTATATTTTTTTGCTTAAAAAAAAAAGAATTTTGGTTGTGATTGATGAAGTTGGTTGAGTGGAAATCTTGTACGTATTTTGATTATTATGTCGTAATTGCAATCATATATATATATAATTATAATATAATTGTAATGGAATGTTTTTTTAAATAAATATTTTAAAATAAATTACAGACAATTTTGCTTTTATTTATTTAACAAAATGCGTGGGCCATGCACGTAAAGTCATTGTTTTATATAACGAAGTTTCCTCTTCCCTTTCCCTCACCCTTCTCTAAACCTCTCTCTCTCTCTACAATTTTATGAGCCATGGTCAAACCTGGAACTCTCACCAAGCTAAAGTCAGCCATGAAACGATGGCCCTCGATCGCCAAGCTCGGCCGAAGCTCTAGCTCAGTATCGGTTGCCACGGTCTACGTCGGTAAGTCCCGACGACCCTATTTCGTTAGGCTCGATGTCATAGCACACCCTTTATTTCAAGAGTTGGTTGACAAGTCGTCACCGGACGAAGGTGGTGCGGTGGTGATCTCTTGTGAAGTTGTCATGTTCGAGCATTTGTTGTGGATGTTGGAGAATTCCGCAGCGCAATTGAGCTCGACAGAGGAACTCGTCGAGTTTTATACTTGCTGACTTCGCGACGGTGACGGGGAATGAAATCCATAATCCGAAGTCGAATAACTTAATTACGGTGTAAAGATGTTGGTACCTAAAGTTTGTTCAGAAGTTGATGGTTGCTGGGATGTTTTTTTTTTTTTTTTTTTTCGCTAAGTTTGTGATAATTAATCATTGTTAATTATAAAATATAATTCAAGATTTCTGCTTACGTCATTCAATTTTAATTCTTGGATTATTATGTCGTCATTTTAATCAATTTTTTATGTTATAATTAAATAAATTAATTAATTAACCAGAAATTACCTTTCTAAATTTCCATATTTACAAAATAGGTCATTATTAGTTTATATTTGCAGTCAACCCCCATAGACTTTTTGTTTTCTTGATAATAAAGTGATTTGCTTAAACATTTGGGGTCAAAGTAGAATTTTTTTTTTCTTGTCACTATCACCAAAATTCTCCATCAATCAAGTTAGAGATTTCCTTGTCTATTTCTTATTCATTCAGAGCGTTTAGCCGATACATGTTCCTTTTTCAAACTAGAACAACTTCTGAACGTTAGGGAAGACCACATGAGCAAACCGACTGAAGGGACTTGACTTATTCGAACCGAAGGATAGTAGCTTCAAACTCAGCCTATCACAAGTAGCCTCGCTGCTTGATCAGCGGGGAGGAGCATCTCAAAGTATGGGGCAAAGGATCAAACACTTTGACTGTCTCCTAGGATCCACCACAGGTTGGGTTTGAGAGCCGTGTGATGGTTGACTATTCAACACGATTCGGAGAGCACTAGCCTTATTAAAACAATTTTCATGGATAATTTTTCATTATTATTTACTTTTAATGAGTTCTCGAGCTTTCAATTTTGTGTTCAATAAGTGGTTAAATAATCTCCGCTCGTCGTTTTTGAAGTAGGTTTAGTCGTGTTGGCCTACCACAAAAGTTGGTTCGGTTTACGAGTTTGGCAAATGTGGGTTCATGTACAACCAAACACAAACACAATGATTTCAATGGCTATGCAAAAAAAAAAAAAAGTAATAAATAAATAAATAATAATAATAATAAATTAATGGGTTTTTTTAAAATGTAATTAGTGTTAATTAATTAAAGAGTCAACATTAATTAAACAAAACACAAATAGAAGTACGAAAGAAAGCTGTCATGAGAATGAGGTTAGTCGTTTCATTATTGTGTTAAGCATCTATTAAGACTTCCAAATGAATTACAGTCCGGGCCCTCTGCTAGCAGATATTGTTATTTTTGGGCTTTTTCGGCTTCATCTCAAGGTTTTAAAACGCAACTACTAGGTAAAGATTTCCGTACCCTTACAAAAGGTGTTTCGTCTTAGCTAGCACTCGTTCCTTTCTCTAATTGATGTGGGACCACCACCAAATCCTCCCTCTTCGGGGCACAACGTCCTTACTGACACACCGCCTCGTGTCTACCCCTTTTCGAGGAAGAGCCTCCTTGTTGTTACATCGCCTGACGCCTTGCTCTGATACCATTTGTGACGGCCCTAGCCCACCGCTAGTAGATATTGTCATCTTTGAACTTTCACAATCCACCCCCTTCAGGGCCCAACATCCTAGCTGTTACTCGTTTCTTTCTCCAATTGACGTGGAACCACCACCAAATCCACCCTCCTTCGGAGCCCAACGTCCTTACTAGCACATCGCCTCGTGTCTATCCCCCTTCGGGGAAGAGTCTCTTCGCTGGCACATCGCCGAATGCCTTGCTCTAATACCATTTGTGACGGCCCTAGCCCACCGCTAGCAGATATTGTTCTCTTTAGATTTTCCTTTTCGGGTTTCCTCTCAAAGGTTTAAAACGCGTCTGCTACGGAAAAGTTTCTACACCCTTACAAACGGTGTTTCGTTCTCCTCCCTAACGAACGTAGGATATCACAAATTAAATACATTGATTAGTTTTAAGGTGATCGTTCTGAAATATATGGAGAAAGGAAGGAAAAAAAGGAACTTTGATTGTGATGACAGATCATAATCTCTTTATCTATTTAAACAATATGGGCAAATTCATAGAATCAAATTAAAGGATTAATTAGTTATTGGATTCAAACCTTTGAATTCTTGATCGAGTGCATATAGTTTAGCTCGTTAGGCGTTGACCGTTATTATGGTTTAATAAATTGTTTAGAAGGTGAGGATGCGTTATCCTCAATGATCTCGATCAGTGTTGTGAAAATTTAGATGGGGAAGGAACGAGGAAACGTTAGGGCAAAAGGGGTCCAAGAAAAAAATGATCGTGATTGACTCCACAAGGTCGTGATGAAGGGAGGATTAGGTCGAGACCCAATTCTTCATTTTGGCCTTTGTTTATCATGAAAAGAACATACTTTATGTATGCCTCTGACCCACAACGCTTGAAAATTTTAGGAATCCGCACAACAGGTATCGATGGAGTATGACAAAGTAGACTTCATAAAGCAGAGTAGAGCGTTGTGATAAATGCAAAATTTTATTTAGGTGAAAATTGATTGGATTTTGAAAAGTGGCTCGATTAATTTATGTGAACAGCCTGAAAAACTTTAATGAATCGGTGGATCGGTTTTTGAAAATAACAAACAAGCAAAATTTGGTTACGTAAACCGAAGCATTAAACATAAAATTTAAAGACTAATGGGCTTGATGTTACGAGTAAATTTGGACTAAGAAAACAAATCGAAAAAGGTTCAATACGAGACAACTTTTAGGTCAACGTAGAAATATCAAGTCATGAAGCAAAAAAGAAGAAAAGAATTTGAGCCAAAGCCCAAATCTAACCTCTCGGTTGAGGAACGACCCTGTAGTCAACCGCTCGAGAGGCACGTGTTAAGCATATTCCACGACTCGTAATAATCATATTCAATTCGATCTAGTTTATTTTTAACCTAATTTGATGAGAAACTGCAATGATAATAATAAATAAATAAATAAAATAAGAACTTAAAGGGTTCTCGTATAAACGTTCAACTTAGAGAAGGTATGCTCTTCCTCATTCTCTAAACCTCGGGGTACTCTGAGTTTAGTACAAGAAAGAAGTCATAATAGTGGCTATATTCTTCTATTAAATTTATGTAACAGCCCAAGCCTGCCGCTAGTAGATATTGTCTGCTTTGGCCTATTACATTTCGCCATCAACCTCACGGTTTTAATACCAATATTTTAGGGAGAAATTTTCACACTCTTATAAGAAATATTTCGTTCTCATCTACAATTGAGGTGAGATCTCACAATCCAACCTCCTTGGAGGCCTAGCGTCCTCACTAGCACACTGCTCGGTGTATGACTTTGATATCATTTATAACGGTCAAAGCCCACCACTAATAGATATTTTTTACTTTGGGATCTCACAATCCAACCTCCTTGGAGGCCTAGCGTTCTCACTAGTACACTGCTCGGTGTATGGCTTTAATATCATTTATAACGGTCAAAACCCATCGCTAATAGATATTGTTTACTTTGGCCCATGGCTATCAGCCTCAAGATATTGTCCACTTGAAGCTGATGACTTTTAAGTAACAGACCAAAATGGACAATATTTACTAGTGTGGGTTTGGCCGTTACAATGGTTGATATATTTTATTGATATTTTCCATTAGTTTTTGGATAAAACACAATTGGCATAATTTATAAAAATCAAAGAGAAAATATTATGTTCATAAATAATTGAATATATGAAGTAAGGAAATGAAAGGATATATATACATATACACACATATATATATATATATATATATATATTTTTTGTATATATATATATTTGTATACATACATATACATATATATATATATATGTAAGGTGGTCACTATATATATAAAATAAGATCTACGTTTGGAAAAATTCCTCTAAATCATTTCATAAATAACGTCTTGGACTTAAATTATAACGACCTGTTTTTAGATGCTTCGAATCACGGATTGTCACGTAGACTCAAGAGTAAAAAAGTCAATAACATTTTTCTTTGGTAAAACGAGTGATATAAACTAAGGTTAAAATTTAAAAATAGTTTCTAAATATTTAAATTTAGACTATAAACCATCTGGAAAATAATTATTCTTAAATTACTAAACAAATAAATTTTGGGGACTCATATTAATTAAAAAAAAAGTTAAATAAAAATAGATATTTTAAAATTGGGAGAATAAGTTGAAAAAAAAAGGAAAATTAAATTTAAGGAATAAAAAAAATGTGGTGAGGAGACGATGCGCAGTAACTGACGGTGACTTTACTAAGAAAACTGAAGGTTGATGTAAAAGAAAAACAGAAAAGTAGAGGCACGTGAGTTTCCGGACATTAGCACGTGAATATGGTTGGAATTCACGTGGGCTTATGAAATCAGGCCATTAAATGGACCACTTTTGGTTCTGACCATAAGTTCTTTTGTTGGTGGGCCTTTTTTTTTTTTTTTTTTCTCTTAAACAAATTTAATTATTATTTATTAAAATCCCACTCATTAAAATGGAAATTTTAAATTAATAATTATTTATATATAAATAAAAAATAAAAATAAAAATAATCTCATTTTTCTTCTATATCTAGAATTCTTTTTTTTTTCGAGAATTCCAAAAATTCGGATTCCATTTATCCTTTTCAGATATTTATTTTGTCCTGCTTTTGTTCTCTCACCACAAACTCCGTTTCTTTTTATTTTTTATTTTTATTTTAAATAAATTAATTAAAAATCATTATTTTTCCTTCTATTTTTGACAATAATGTCATTTCTTCTTTTTTTAATTCGCGTGTTAAATGATTTTTCAATTTTCTTATTTTCAAATTAAATCGACATGAGATTATTCAATGAATCTACCAAAATTTGTGTTTTTTAATTTTTTTTCTTTAAAAAAAAAAGAAGAGTTAATTTTTTTAAATAAATAATATTTAATTTATAAAATTAAGAAATAGACACGTGGACGGATTCCCAAACAGGTGCTTGGACGTGGCCCCTGGCCTCCTGGTTGGGAATTTCAATATTTAATTACAAAGTAAATATTAATTATTTATTAATTTATGGTTATTTTTTAACCAATAAAGTTATATGGTTCCGTATCTTATCCGGTAAATAAGCGAGCGGGACCCACAACTGGTTCTCAAGCCATAATAAATAAATAAATAAATAATAGAAGCTTCTGGTCTCTGGAGATGAGAAGAAAATATCTCGCTCAAATTCAATCTCAGCCGTTCATCTCCAAGACACATTTTTCCATCGCCTTTATATTAATTTCCCGAAAATATAATTTAAAAAAAAAAAATTAAAAAACTATATAAGGGCCGTGGTTCTAGAGTGTTCTTGAACCACCAAACCTTCTCCCAATCTCCACATTCGACATGTCGTTCTTGTTTATCAACATCGATGATCGTTCCGATTCGTCGTTTTACAAGCTAGAGTTTCTGTAAATCCTAGCTTATTTGCCTCAGTGTTTGAAGAAAAGCGAATGGCTGATAAGAACGAGCAAAACGACGATCTGTACGGCGTTTTGGGGTTGAAGAAAGAATGCACCAAAGCGGAGCTTAAGAATGCGTATAAGAAACTGGCTATGGTAATTAAATTACGTCTCTGTAATTTTTTATTTATCTTTTATTACTGTTTCTGTTAATTTTTTGTTCGATTTTGTGGTAGAAATGGCATCCGGATCGGTGTTCGGCTGCCGGAAACTCTAAGTTCGTCGAAGAAGCCAAGAACAAATTCCAAACGATTCAGCAAGCCTATTCTGGTAATTTCACTTTCTTTTATTATTTTTTTTTTTTTAATAAATAATTATTTTAAAATCTTCTACCGGTGAGGTGTAGTTTTATCGGACGCGAATAAACGGCTGTTGTACGACGTCGGAGTTTATGACGGCGATGATGACGAGGATGATATGGTATGCTTCTCCACATGTTAACTACGGTGCTCCCTCGGTTATTTTTGAATTAAATTAAAATAATATTTGAATTTTGGTCAGGGAATTGGTGGGGTCTCCTCCAAATGTTAAGACTCTGTTTGGTTCACTTGGTTTGCAGGGTATGGGTGACTTCTTGACCGAAATGGTTTCCATGATGGACCAAACTAACCCTAACCCTAATGTTGTAAGCCCGACCATCTCATGATCATTCATTAAATTAGTCAAGGTCTTGTCGATCGATCCAGTGAGAGTTATAGCCATTTTTATTATTGTTATTACGATAGGAAAATGGGGAAGAAAGCTTCGAGAAATTGCAGGAATTGTTCCAAGAAATGTTAAACGATGACGTGGAGGGATTTCGACCGAGCTCACATGCAAATTATGTGTCGTCTTCATCGTCATCCTCGTACTCCGAATGTTCGAGTTCGAGTGACAACCGAAATTTGTCGGGCATGAACAACACCAACTCTTTTGAGGCTCACGTGCAAGGCTTCTCAATGGGGGTTAGATTATGCTGCTTTGAATGTTGTTTGGCTAAGAATTTAAATATTTTATTTATGAAAATTATTGTGGATTTAGAGCGGAGGAAAATGCAGAGGAGGAGGAGGAGGAGGAGGAGAAGGGAGCAAGAGCAGGAATTGGCGGAGGAAACGGTAGGACAATAAGGACAAAAGTGGAAAACAGAGATTTGTGGTGGGACGACTTGTCGGATATTCAACAGACGACAATGGGAGTGGGATTGGGATTGTCGTCCAGAAGTCTCTGCCAATCTAGTGGAAGCTGCCATTGTTACAACGTGGGCGGAGGAAATATATGAACATAATTTACTAATAATATTTATTGTTTTTTTTTTTAATTTTTAATTTTACCCCAATGTTATGTTAAATATAAGTTACTGTGATCTAGAATCTAAATTCAGCATCTGATCGCCTAATATTACCATACATCCTCTACGACATGGCCATGTTACCTGCTTCTTACTTTTTACGAGTGGAAATTATCTGTATATACCAACAAGAGTTTTTTTCAACATGTTTTGTACCGGTTCATTCATGTACCCCTCCTTTTCTCGAGTGTCACATATCCACAAACTTCTACATGGTTATGTTACCTATTCTTTGCTTTTTAAGAATGAAGACTATTCTTATAAATAAACACGAGCCTTATTCGAACGTGGTCTCGAATTACGTCCTATCCTTAAAATTACTCTTATTCGAATGTGGTCTCGATTCATTCATATATCTTTCTTATTTTTAAAAATTTTATTTTGAAGTTTGAACCTCAACATCGGCTTTAGTCGATACTTCACTCATATTAATTCTATCTTACATTTTTCTCGAGTTAAACAATATATAGAGATAAAAAAAAAAAATTATGTTCATGTCGAGAAGTATAGGTGTACATAGGTTAGATTAGAAAAATCTCTTGAATTAATCCAAAATTTTGGATTGATTTGATTGGTGACTCGAACAACATGAATAGAGTTCACAACCCAACTCGGGTTATGTTGAGTTGTCAATATTTTTTATATATAATTATTTTTTAAAAAAATATTAAAGAGGGCCTCTCTAACCGGTGAAAAGTGGCGGGTGTCCACTAACAGTCATTCCTGGCTCGACTCCGACAATGCAATTTTAGGAGGTAGTTTGGCACGGGATCCCTTTAGACCTAGAGAACATGAGACGCTGGGTTGGTGTTTGGTGAACTAATTGATCGCTCCTCTCTTTTACAGCTGCTACGCTCCTCTAGTTTGGTGACTCGAACCTGAACAGAGTTCACAACTAACTCAACATACGGATATGTTGGGTTGTCAATATTTTTTTTATATATAATTTTTTTTTTAAAAAAAAATCTATTTATTTAGTTTGTTTAATAACTAAAATCTCATAAAATTCAAACATCAAACCTTTAAAAAGTCAAAATGCTAATATCAGCTATATGCGTTAAATACTCTCCGAGGTAGGATTAAGTGGGGACCAGGAAGTCAAGACGGGAGGAGTCAAGACTAAAGATTCTTTCTCTTTCACCTATTTATTCTTTGTAAAGCAGTCGGTACTCTTTCCACTACTATGCGATTGATGTTAATACAACTTTGATGAGCTTGCGTAGTATTAGGTAAAGGCTGACCAAGCCAATGATGCTTAGCTAGTCTTTTCGGATGATCAGCCACATTGGGACTGAGACACGGCCCGAACTCCCACGGGGGGCTGCAGTGGGGAATCTTGGACAATGGGCGAAAGCCCGATCCAGTCAACTCAGTCTCATTAATCTTTCTTACAGGAGAGAGAGAGTAAAGGAGTTCCAGAAGAATCCTACGTTTTACCTCCAGGTAGCGAGTGCTTACGACTCAGAGGCAAAAGGACACTGTTGTAACCATAATCTCGAGCCCCGACCAAAAAAAATGTAAACTTACAAACCGAACTAATTTTTAGTTTTCCAAAAATTTAACCCAATAAAAAAAAAACTTTAAAAGATTTTTATTATTATTATTTTTAGTTCAACACACTCAAATATGACATTTCGTCCATAATTAGAATTGGACAAATTCAAGGATAAACACAATTAAATAGTTGGATTAAATTTAGGAAGCACTTAATTATTAACTATAATATATATTTAGTAAGAAAAAAAAAAAGCAAAAAATTGATAAAGAAATTAGAAATTAAGATCTCCCTTTTGAATCAAGCGCAGCTATAAAAGCCCGACCCTGATCAACCTTTGTTCTTCTTCTTCAAACATTCCCTCCTTTTTTTTTCCCCCAAATCTTCTTGTGGTTGACAGGATAGAACCCTAGAAAATCCTTCCTCCTTCGTTACGTTTTCGATTCTGATTTTATTCGTCTTCCACATCTCTTTCAGTAGCTGTTTCCATTTCTACATTTTCCATTTGTTTTCAGTTTCGATCCACAAAATTCTCGGAGAACATTCTATTTCGTATATTTGTTTGGTTTCGTGTTTTGATCTCTTGCTGCAGAGAAAATCATGGATACTTTTCTTCACAAGCTATGGGATGAAACGCTTGCAGGCCCTACGCCAGATACCGGCCTTGGAAAGCTTCGCAAGTATGATTCGCTTTCGGTCGCGGAATCGCCTCCGGTTAAGATTTCCAAAGATATTCCTGTAACTCGGAGCATCACCATTCTCAGGAGTAACTCGGATGATCGTAGTAGAAGGATGATTGATTTGCTCGCTGGAGAATCCTCTCCGCGGACTCCTTCTACTCGTGAGCTTTTCAGTTTTCGGATCGATTGGATCCATCGTTTAATTGGATATATTTGTATTCAGAGAATTTTATATATTGCACACGGAAACTACATGCGTAATATGTGTAATTTATTCGGACATTGGACCTGTTTGTAGTATGTGTAATTTTGTTTCTCCTCTTCCGTGCAGCTGGGACGCCAGAAGGTCATCCGAAGAGACTTGCATGGAGAAAATCGTCGGCTGTATCAATGGAACAAGACGGTTAGAAGTAATGAGTTACTTTTAGTTTTTTCATTCACCGATCTCTCGTTCACAGACAAACAATTTGCATTATCTACTGTTCACGGATTTGCATGCATCATTTCTTCATCTTGATCGAAGTAAGACTTAATAGGACAAGGTTTCAATCGATGCATTCCTCTTTGAACACATGCTTTTTGAATCATACAGTATGAAATATATTAGTTCATAATCTAATGAGAGGAAAATGTAATCTGAAAATCTTTGAGTTACTAAGTGAACGATCCTGTTTTCTGTAAGGAATACAAATAATAAAATCTGTTTCATTGAGATTCTGTAGTTTTCAAAAGGAATTGTAGAGTCAAGGTTGTTGATATAAGATTAATGTTTAGCCTTTGCATATGTTGCAGGATCTCGATTAACACAGTCTTATGACATCGATTATTGAAGGGGAAGCATCCAAATAATTTTATATAAATTATAAATGTATGTATCTGAGTGTATTTATTTATTTATTTATATCTTTGTATATAATGGCAACTGATCCAGCTACAGATATTCAATCCACCCCTTGGCATTAAATATTCTGCCCAGAAAGGGAGAACGGATTTCTTGGTTCTGTTTGTTCTTAATAATTTATAACAATACATTTGTGAATTATGTGTGTATAGTATATAATATCATTGCATTTGGATTAAAACTCTTCTTTCTTTGGTTTTCATGTCACTTTGAATCAGTTTTGAACCACAATCAGCTCAGATGAATTACTGATGAACAAAACATAACAAACTCAAATGCAAAATTACTGGGATATGTTGCAGTTTGGTTTAACTTGCAGAGGATGTCTTGACTTTCTCAATCAGATCGGCAGCGTCTTGAACCGTTGAGATGCCCTCGGCTCCGCCTTCTCCGATCGACACTCCGAACTTCTCTTCCAAAGCCATCATGATCTCAACCTGTGAGTATTCCTTTAATGTGAGTTATGAATTATAGTTTTTCTTAGCTTTTGATTGTTAGCTGTTGGTTTAAAATTTTGAGTTGACTCACGGTGTCAAGAGAATCAGCTCCCAATTCTGAAAATTTTGTTTGAGGGATCACTGGGCTTTGTTCCAGAGAGAGTTGCTTGGCGATTATTTCTTGAACAACTTGCATTGTCTCTGGTTGTGCCTGCCCATTTTTACACACCCATCTCAGTTTTCACTCTTCAACTTAAATTCAACCGTTTCTTTTAGCTGTCTTCCACTTGTTTTTTCTTTGTTTAAAAAATTTCAAACAAATTTATCTTCCTTTTTTTGCTTATGAAATTGAATTTTTTTTCTTTTATTATGTGTCCAATAATTATGGTAACAGTTAATACACAACTTTATATCTCATCAATAAGGAAGTTTTTGTTACTTTTTCGTGTGGTCCTTTTTATTTATTTATAGAAAAAGCTTATTTGCTGATATTTTTTTAATAATTATAAGTTATATTTGAAATGCATTTCTATACAACAACCTAGAAAGTGAAAATTTTGAAAATAAAAGGTCCATTTTGTTGAGGATTGTTGGAAGAGGAGTCCCGACTAATTAAGAGGTTGATCATGAGTTTACAAGTAAGAAATATCTCATTGGTATGAGGTCTTGTGGGGAAACGGGAAACCAAAAGCAAAGGGACGAAACTTTATGCTCATCATACTATTGTGGTGGTTCGTGGTTTCTAACATGGTATAAGAGTCATGTCCTTAATTTAGTCATGTCAATAGAATTCTCAAATGTCAATAAAGAAGTTGTGAGTCTTGAAGATATAGTGAAAAAGTGACTCAAGTGTTGAACAAAGAGTGTACTTTGTTCGAGGGTTCCATAGATAGAGTCAAGCCTCGATTAAGGGGAGGTTATTTGAGGGTTCCATAGGTCTCAAGGGAGGCTCTATGGTGTATTTTGTTTGAGGGGAGGATTGTTGACGATTACTGGGAGAGAAGTCCCACATTGGTTAATTAAAGGGTTGAGGTCTTTTGTGGAAACCAAAAGTAAAGCCACAAGAGCTTATACCTAAAGTGGACAATATCACGTCATTGCCTAGGTTTAGAGTCGTAGTTTTTAACATATTTTGCATTGAACCTATTGTTTTAGAATTTTTTTTTGGAACGTCCAAATATAATTTAGCATAGGAAAATAAAGTAAAGTGTAAGGAAGGTACAAGTGAGCAGGAAATGTTTGATTTGAAGTAGGTTGGAAGTTGGTATAGTCCTCTCGCAGCCTTTGCCCTTCGGATGCTGGGAAACACCCTCTGCCCACAAAACAAACTGACCTAAATGACCAATTTTGGAATGAAACTCAAAATTCCTTAAAAGAAAAACAACTTGTAATAACGTGACCAGAGAAGACTCACTCTGGCAAACAGACTATTGCGCGAACGCCAAGCAGTGCAGCTACTTGTCAACGTCGTTGAGGCAAGCGTCGTGAGAAGAGGAGACGAAGCGAGGGACGACATGTCGGTAACGAGATGAGATGAATGAAAAGGAAGGTGAAAAAGAGAGGTATTTATAAAATAAGAAGGGTTCTTTCAAAGAATTGGATGATAACTAAGGCCTTGTTTGGCGGATGCTTCTATGATTCTCCTCTCTTCACAGCGGACCTCTCAATCCCTTTGCTTTAACATAAACACATTTACAAATTAAATATTTATTTATAACTTAATTAATATAAAAGGTTAAATGTTTGAGTCTTCTTGTATTCACCGTTAGCATTTATTGTCTTCTTTGAGTTTTTTCTTTTAGGCTTCCCCCAAGATTTTAAGCTTTTAAAATGCGTCTGCTAGATAAATGTTTCCCTAGTGTGTTTCGTTCTCCTTCCTTGAGATATCACACTTATTGTCATATTAGTCTTCTAAAAAAACATGTTCATGTCAATATATTAGTATAAGTCAAGTCGGCTCTTCGATGTTTTGTTTTTTTTTTTACCATTTTTAGGAACTAAATATGAATTCTCAGGGAAAAACCAAGCTTATAAAACTAATTTATTTAGTATTTAAAATGTGGGTTTTAAAAAGTAGATACCATTAAAGAAAACATAAAATAGAAAAATAAAAAAACAAGATAGTTGGGAAACAAATAGCATAATAGAGACCAAATAGTTATTTAATTCAACAATCAAAATATAATAGTTTAAACGCATAAGTTCATATATTCTTTTAGTCTCCATATTTGGCAATTTGTTCTATTTTAATTTCAATACTTTTAATAAAACTTCAAATAAATCTTACTTTCTATTTAAATTTCTCATTATTAATTGCCACTAATTTTGAGAGACTTTATGAATTATAGGATTAATTTTAAACATTTAAAAATATATAGATAAAACCAAAACAAGTTTTAGAATATAGTGTTTTAAAGAAACAACAATTATAATATAAATAATAAGTTAAATTAATAAAAATATCTATCAATTTTGTACTTTTATCTAAAAATACTCCTAAACTTTCAAAAATTTTAAAAAATCTAAAAAATCTAAAAAATACTTGCACCTTTTATTATGGATGGATACCCTCGTATTTTATTTTAAAAAATATCTCTGAACTTCTAGTCGCGTTTTAAAAATACTCTTCAACAAAAGTTTCGATCAACTAATTTAAAAAGTTTAAAAATACATTTATAATTAGTACTATATTTAAAAAATACCCATAAATTTTTAAAAATAACATCAATATCTTTTACATTTATAAAAAAAAAATTAAAATTTACAAAAAAAAAAAAAAAAAAAAAAAAAGAAAAAAAAGTATTTTTGAAATTTAAAGAGTAAATAAAACTTTTGAAAATTATAGTTTAAAATTAAAGGGTATTTTTGTATTTTAATAAAATTAATGAAAATTATTTACGAAACTAGAAAATTATATATTTTTAAAAAAATAAAAAGGACTTGGACATCTATTCCGGGGTCGTAATTGGTAAAGGTCAGCCGGTGGGAGGGTAAAATGGTAATAACAAGACATTATTGGAGTTTTTAGTAAAATATTAATCGTACCACATAAGAACAGCGATGGACTACCTACCCGAGGCTATGCCGGCAGCGCCATCACGGTCACTCCCGGTACAAATTACAACCAATCACCTCCAGCCACGTTACCCATTAATTCCTAAATTGCGCCACGTGTCCCCCCCACCGACGCCGTCAGTTCCCCCCCCCACCAAATTAAACGTCCCCCATTTTTTCTTACGGAAAACTATACCATTTTCTCCGGTCAACCCCGATCCCAATTCCCAAACCCTAACCCTAATCCCCTTTTCTCCCTCTCTCAATCGTTCCTTAGCTTCCCAGATCGGCGGCATATGTTCGGTTCATGAATGTATCCGACCGATTCGCATGCACCGGTGAACCAATATCGCAGCTGTATCAAAATCTAGTGGCCAGATCGGTGCGTAACATTTCCGGATCGGTGGTGACGTTTTGTTCACGATTGGACCAGATTCCATGAAGGACGACGATGAGATTCAGTCGAGTGGATCTCCGGCTTCTCCGATCTCCAACGGCCGGATTACCGTGACGGTTGCGGCGGCGCCTCCTCCTCCTACGCCTCCTTCTCAGAATACGATAACGTTGGCTCTGCCGAATCAACAATCCAAAGGAAGTGGCGGCGGGAGCGGCGGAGGTGGACGAGAGGATTGTTGGAGCGAAGGCGCGACGTCGGTGCTGATTGATGCTTGGGGAGAGAGGTATTTGGAACTGAGTAGAGGGAATTTGAAGCAGAAGCACTGGAAAGAGGTGGCTGATATTGTGAGTAGTAGAGAGGATTATACGAAGATACCGAGGACTGATATTCAGTGCAAGAATCGGATTGATACCGTGAAGAAGAAGTATAAGACTGAGAAGGCTAAGATTAGTGCTGGAGGAGGGCCCAGTAAGTGGCCATTTTATGATAGATTGGATCAATTGATCGGTCCGGCTTCCAAGAATCCTGTTTCTAGCGCAGGTGTAGCCACCACTGTAAATCCGCCTCTACAGAACCAGAAAGTTCCTCTAGGGATTCCTGTAGTGAATCGGTCGCTGATTCCATATCAGGCTCATCATAATCACAATCATCAACAGCAACAAAAGGGGCAAAAAGCTCAGAAGGTCCAATTCCACAAGCGGCCTCGAACGGATTCCGATTCCTCAGGCTCCGAGAGAGAAACATCCCCAACTTCGAGCGACAGTTACAGGCAAGGAAATTATCGGAGGAAGAGCGCTAGGGTTCAGAAGGAAGTGGTGAATCCAAATTTAGGGCAAATGGGGAAGACGGAAAAGGGAAGGAACGGATCGAGAGAAAAGGGATGGCGAAATGCTGTGAGCAAATTAACTGAAGCAATACTCAAATTTGGGGAAGCGTATGAACAAGCAGAGAGCTCGAAGCTGCAGCAAGTGGTGGAAATGGAGAAGCAGAGGATGAAATTCGCCAAGGATCTGGAATTGCAAAGAATGCAATTCTTTATGAAAACTCAATTGGAGATCTCGCAGCTGAAACATGGGAGAAGAGTTGTGGCTGCTGGTAATCACCATTGTAGCAACAACAACAACAACAACAACAACCACAGTAACAGCGAAAGCAGCAACTAGATGAGATTTGCAGAATTAGGTAATACCCTTCTCATCTTTGGAAATGGTAATCCTGCCAGTTTACTTATGTGTATCCAAATTTATCATTTTCTCTCCTAAATTAACTTCATCAAGATGTTCAAAGCCTTAGTGGTCAGTAGTCAGTCTGTTACCCATTAGAAGTCATCCTCATCGTCATCGTAATCACCTACTTTTAGTTTTCCTCATTGATGATAATCAATCACACCTTCTTGTTGGAAGATTGCAAATAGTTTCTCAGTAAAATCCCTGTTAATTAGAACAAAATGATGAATCAAAGTAAATCCAATTTGGAATCAATGACTGTTCCTTCCCTCTACTACTCCTTTTTGGTAATTAAATGATAAAGATGATGCCAATTTGGGGTCAACCCAGATTCTGAAATTTGCAGAGATGCACTTTTCATCAACTGATTCAAACAGAATATGATTATAGGAGAAATCATGCCCTGACTTTGTATGACAAAAACAGTCGCTCTGGTCATCTCAATAATTTAGATTAACCTGCAAATCAGTTAGCGGATGAGATTTGAGGTGAAAAAACTTTCTTTTGGGATTTGTTTTTTGATGTAGAAAAGCATGCGATGATAAGATAGATATTGGTTGTCTGATTGTTGAATCTGATACTATGATCTTCCTTTTCTTTGTCAACAATATATATTAAGTTCGGATAAGATCAAATCAAATCCAAGTGGGATGATGTGAGAAAGCGCTATGCTTTTTAGGTTTTATATTGAAGTGAGCCAAAGTCATTTCATTTCTCTATACTCAATGCCTGCCTGCCTTTTTGTTTTTTTTTTTTTTTTTTTTTTTTTTTGTATCCCACCATACGAAAGAACAAATTCAAATGCTCTAGATATTGGATAGATTTTCTGGCTCACAACTGTAGGATTTGTAGCCCGAGACGTTGGAGAACGAAAAAGTTCGATTAAATTTTGGGTTCATGGGAAGATTCCAATCTTCTTTTTATATTTGTGAGACTAGTTTGCCTGTATCTCAACTAATTTCATATTGTCCGATCCCACCATATTTAGTTGCTAAGAAAACACCTAGAATGTGTATCATCTTGTTTAGAACGGGGTATCGAACCAAGCGGAGCTCGATTGGCTATGGAGAGGTTAGAGCCGTGCCAATACACTCTTTGCTTGAAAGCAAACATTCAATTCTAGATAATTGTGTTTAAATTTTATAGCTGACATTTAGAAATGAAGGATAAACAGCTGAGGAACTTTGGTTAAACCTTGGTCTAGAAACTTAAATTGGTTCTCAGAATTTAAAATCACTTGTTTTTTTTTTTTACCACATCTCGTACTTTCTTTGAAATGGCGGGTTAAAGAATTTGAATTTATCCCAAAAAAATTATTTAATAGATATTTATATTAGTGACTAGTTGACCAAATGAGTTCCATGTGTACTAAATTTGTAATTGTCAAAGAAATTGGCTGAAATGAGTTGATAATTACTATGTATACCTACCAAAATCCCTCACCTACCAAAATCCCTCACTATAATGTCGCGAAATTAGTATTCATATAATCCAATTATCCGATTAACTCGAACATTAACTCGAACTACTCGACCCAACCCAAGTTGAGTTAGATTTGTTTTCGTTGAATTTTTTAAAAACAAAAAATTTGGTTTGGTTTGCTAGCTGATATATCGTGTCAATCTAATCAATTCAAAAATAGGGTTATAATTCAACCCAAAGATGAATATTTAACATCCGTAATCGATTTTAGTAATACACTATGACTTGTAAATATTTTTTTATGAGATTTTAGTTATTAACATGTATCGTGAATAGGTAGAGTTTTTTTTAAATAATTAAAAAAAAAACAATCGGATAACTCAATCCAACCGAGTTAAGTTGAATTGGGTTGTGAACTCTACTCTAAGTATTTGGGTCATCAACTTGCCTGATTTTGGGTTAGACTAAAAAATTATTCTACCCTAACCCAACCCATGTAACGACCCTAATTTCTACATACTCAAAGTCGCTACTAATTTCTCATATTGTGCTAAAATGCGGAAGATAAAAGAAAATCTCATCTCTAATATAAATGTCGAAAACATTTAAAACATCATTTTCTCTAGAAAACACAGTCATTGTCTTACGTGTTTAAACGTTTTCAACATTTATACTAGAGAAAATTATGTTTTAAATGCTTTCGACATTTATTCTAGAGATGAGGTTTTCTTTTAAGAGTTATATTCCACATTTTAACATAGCATGCGACGTTAGTAGCGACTTTGAACATGTAGAAATTTTAAATCGTTACAACCCAACTCGTGCACACTACTTAATCTTTTTTTAAAATGATATGTTACGACATAATTGGTGTCAAAAGAGTTTTTTTTTTTCCGATCTCTAAGTTACTCATTAATAAAAAGCAAACTATTCTAAATAATTCAACTCAATAATGAAAGGGAAACAAATAATTCAATTACATTATTTTTATTTTATTTTATATTATATATTGTATCTTATTAATGCACTTCCTAGAGCAAATTACTACTACATTTCCTATCCTTCAGGTTCAAGGTTCGAATCCTGTCTTTTAATATTGTTGTTAAACTTTAATTCATCTCAACCGGTTGATGGTTGGACTTTATTTCAATTAATTAAAACATAAAAATAAATAAAAGATTTTTTTTTTTTTTTTATTTTAAGAATTAGACCTCTATTTTTGTCCTATAAAATATTTATTAATTAATAGGACTTTTTAGCCTATGAATTGATTATTGTAAACTACAAAATAATAATAATAATGATAATAAATAATAATAATGACAAATCTATTATGTAATTTTAAAAATTGTAGAAAATAAATCTATTACGTTAATATCAATTCGAACAGAGTTCACAACCAACATAACCATCTATTTTTCGGGTTGGATTTTCGGGTTGTACTTCTTGTTTAATTATTTTAAAAAATCAAAATTATTCACAGTACATATTACATTAATAACTAACGTCCCATAAAATTCAAATATCAAACATTCATAAGTCACAATGTATCACTAACATCGGTTACAAACATCAAGCAGGTAAGGTAAAGTTGGACTGTAACCCTATTTTTGAGTTAATCTGAGTCCGGTTAACCCAACAAAAAAAAATGTCAATCTGTCAACCGACCTGAAATTTTAGTTTTTCAAAAGTTCAACCAAACCTAACCCAAACCGAGAAAAAAATTCTAACACAACCCAAAATTTATAGTTTTGGATATTTGATTTATAAACTTTTAAAATTATTTAATAAAAATCTCTACATTTTTTATTTTATATAATGAACATTTCTATAAAATTTATTTATTTGATGCAATATAAAAAATAAAAATAAAAATTAATAAATTACTAAATAAATTTAAATTATCAATCATATTAAACACAAAATTAAAAGACGTTTGGAAATTAAGAGACCCATCGATAATAGATTAAACTTGTAATTTAACCTAGAAAGCAGAGTCGGAAAGAGAAGAGAGGAGAGACTCGACAAATATCGTAAAAGACCGATCAAGGGATTCAAACAAGTAGACTTCTAAGATGCGGCGGCTTCAATTATTTCAACCTCAATTAGGTGTGATAGACAACCTAGGGACGTGAAAAAAAAAAATTTAGTGTTTGAAAAATAATGCGTTTATAATGCATTTTTCTCATTGATTTGATTTTATATTTGAATTTTAAGAACAAAAATGATGTCTTTTTCCTAATATAAAATCATGACTTAAATTCCGTTCTTTTAAAATTATCTTCGACTGTTATTAGAACGATCCAGTCAAGTATCTAAAAATAGAGATGTCCATTTTACTCGGGATCGGACCACGTGGAGACTCAGCTTGAATGAGGAGAGGATTTCTCGTTTAGACAGGTAATGGGGGAGAGAGTGAGAAATGTTTTTTTCTCGTTGATAAATGGGGACGGGAACAGAATTATTACTTAATATAAATATATTTTAAATCCATATTAATATTAATATATATGTTTTTTTTTTACTATATTAAAAAAATAAATTAGTTAATTTTTGGACATATTTAAGCGTTGGTAATATTAAATTTTGAGTGTTTGCTTATGAAAAATATCCATTTATTATGATTTTTTCTACCTTTTTTTTAATAAATAATATATTAAAAATGAAGACTTAAATATAACTCTATATATTTTAAAAAGAATAATAAATGGAAGACAATTATTAGTGTGAATTGGATCTCCACAAATTTTTCGTGGAGAATCCGTGCAAAAATAAACGGGAAACTTCGTGGGGACGAGGAATGAAATAGGTAGTAGAGATGGAGATAAAGAAGGCTCCCCGTCCCCATCTCGCCGACATCTCTAACTAAAAATCACTTGACTTTACATTACTATTGAGCTTACCGAGCTGATAGGGCATGACACGTAGGACAAATAACAACAGAAGTCTATTGACTCAGTGCCATGTAAGGCACAAATGGAAATCTCGAGACAACCGTAGCACAACGAATAATTTTAAAACCGTAACACGACATTAGAGTGAGTACTTTCTTTCCCGTCAATCAAACCCCTCGACCCGACATCGTAACTAACGAACTCGTGTACACCTCCGATCAAATTCTCACGTAAAAACACATAATGAGCTGAAAAAAGGGTGGGGGGTTAAAAAGGGAATAGACGCAAAATAATAGAAAAAATGAGCACTTTTTATCTTTTCCCAACGAGTGGCACTCGAGGGATGAAGTGGAGTAAGGACAAAACAAAATCTGTGGAAGTGTTTCGTGGAGGGGTAGTATTGTACATTCACCTTCCTCTGGGCCCCACAATATTATATTATTTAATATTTCCCTCTCATATCTCACTCCGCGTGGAATTTTTGTATTAAAAGTTCAAAAATATGTTCTTATCCCTTTTTTTTATTCGGTCTATTTTTATTTATTTATTTTATATTACATTAAATTAAATTAAATTAATTTTTATTTTTAATCCAATATATTTAGTTTAATTAAAAAATGAATAAAATTTTAATTAATTTTTAATATTTGGAATGGTGTTGGTATAAATAATTGATCTAAAATTAGAATACAACAAAAAGCATCTATTCATTCATTTAATATTCTTTATACCAAATAAAAAATATATATTAATTGAATATCTATAAATGTGAAAGAAAATTAGTCCCTTTTTAATTAATTAATTATTTTTATTGCTAATTTACAATTAATATAGAGAAAAAAAAATTAAAAAAAATTAAAGAGAGAGAGAGAGAAAGAGCGTGATCTCAGATGTAAATTGTTCCCTCCATTAACTTTCAAATGTATAAAACCGTTAAAAATTAGAATACCAGATTAATCGTCTCAATTACCAAAATACCCTCTCAATTCGTACAGTGGCAAGTCCCCCTACTGCACAATTACATATCTACCCTCAAAATATTCTAATATTGTATTGTAGTTTTAATTTTCTACTGTCTTATATTAAACTTATATTATTTTTTACCCGTCAATTTTAAAATAGGATTACAATTTAATATGATATTATTTTTAAAAGATTAAGAATATTTAATGTTACTGATGAACGGTAACATGTAATTTTAAAGAGAACAACCCGACAACCCATCCCAACTAACTCGAAACTATCGAGCGGGTCAAAAAGGTTTTTCATCTGAACCAACACGTGTACATTCTTAATTAAATTGAAAAAAAATATATTCTTATTTTTAGTTTGTTTAAATTTTTTTCGTAATTTAATATACTATCAATCACATCTAACTTCAGTAGATAGAAAAACAACCACTAAAGATGCTAGAGTATTAAAAATTAATTTTTTTTAACATGGGTTAGTGCAATACCCATTATCATTTTAAAGATTTATAGTTTGACGAACAAACAAAAGAAAAGACGTTTAAATTTTAGTCATCTATTTGAGCACGAGTTAGTAGATAATCTATTACCATTTGAGAGGTCGATGATGTGATTTTACGGGAGAAAAAAAAAAGAAAAAAAAAGAAAAATTAAATGAAATAAATGGGGGAGGGTAAAATGGTAATTTAGGGGGTAGGAAGAGTGAAGAGTCAGCCGGATTTCAGTAATCAAAGAGAAAAGAAAGGTATTTTGTTTGTGTTTGGAGTTTTAAAGTTTGTTGATTTCCAAATTTGCGAACAAAAAGGCATTGTCCGAAGCACAGTCCTCTCTCCAGTTCACATCTCTTCCTCTCTCTCTACTGTATATCCTGAGAGTTTAGAGAGAGAAGACAAAGAGAAGAAGAGAGATGGCGACATACATTCTTTCACGGAGCCACCATTAAAGCAAGCACGAACCATCTTCCCATTGTTAGGGTTTTCTTAAAACCCGGATATTGTTTTCCAATTTTTTTTTTTTTTTTTTTGTTTTCACAGAGGAAAGCAAAGAGTATCTCACATAATATCGGCAAGTGAAATGTGGCTAATCATCTTGGCTTCGGCTTGAATCGGAGGATCCGATTGCATTTTTTGAGATCTTGAATGTGGACTTTGCAGGTATGCTTCTGAAATAGACGATCGGTCGCGCATTTCGGCATACGGTTTGTTTACTTGTTTATATTTTTTGAACATTGTTTTGTTTCTTTTGGTTTTGTGCATTTGGTTTTCTTTGGCTGCGTTCATGCAATATCCAGATTGTTTGTTGTGTTTGAAATAGTTTGTGTTTTTTTTCCCTTTGGGGGGGGGGGGGGNGGGGGGGGGGGGGGGGGAGTTTGGTATTTGAATTTGGGTTCGTGGGATTGAATTCCGTGTTGGGTTTGCTTCGGTTTGGCCATTTGATTTTGTTTAATTCTTGAATCAGATCTAAGCTTATCTGCCTTCTTTTCGTGAAGCTTGGGTTTCTATTTTGGGGTGGGGGGAGGAGGAGGCGAGTGAATTTATTAGTATTTGGTTTTTCTGAAGGGCTTTTGGAGTGATCTGTGATGTATGTTGAGTGGACATTTAGGACCGAAGCTTGGAGATTTCTTCTGCTGGGGTTCTTCTATGGAATGATATCTTCTTGGATAATTTTACTTTTACTCATTATGTTGCCTGCTGGAATCCGGATTCTATTATTAACGTCCGGATTTTATTGTCCTCTCTTACTATGGAACTGTTGCAACCTCTTCTACAGTTTGAATTATGTTTTTTTGGAATTTTTATGTAAGTTTAATCTAGTTGAAATGACGAACTTATGATTTAAATGCTTTCTGACGGGTTATTTCGTTTGTTCTCTATCAACCTGCATTATAGCAGGGATGTTTCTTGCCGTATTTCTTCAAAATTCTACAGGCCTGTCAAACATTGTCAACAGCTATTATATTTTTTGACCGGAAGTAAGTTAACTTTGATGAAGTGCTTTGTGGGGAAAAAATAAAGTGAAACTTGAAGTTTCTGTGAAGTGAAAGGGAAATGAAACCTGAGACGCCGTTGGATTTTGCCATATTTCAACTTTCACCTAGGCGTTCACGGTGTGGATAGTATTCGTTGGTTGTTCAGATTTCATACCACAATCTTCTATTTACTAATTTTATTGTTCTCTCCCCCATTGGGCAGCTGCGAATTGTTTGTTTCTAGTCATGGAAACTCTGAGAAACTAGCATCAGGCTCTGTGAAGCCATTTGTAACTCAATTAAAGGCTGCAGAAGAGCAGTTTGCTCATGCAGTCCAGACAATTAAGCTTGAAGTTGAGAGGGGTGGAAATGCTGATGCATGGTTCACGAAAGGGACCCTTGAAAGGTTAAAAATTTTCCTACTTGATTTCGACGATTCAGCATTTTTTAAGCCAGCTGGCCAGGTTCTCTTGGATCTTCTTGTTGACGTGCTTGAAATATTTCCAGGTTTGTGCGTTTTGTTAGCACACCTGAGATCTTGGAGATGGTCAATACATTTGATGCAGAGATGTCACAATTGGAAGCAGCTAGAAGAATATATTCTCAGGTATTGCCATTAGTCAGCGCTATTTAGGATGAACACAATTCTTTCTTTGTTTTGCTAAATCAACAATTCTCTTGCATTAGGGTGAAGGAAATCAGCATTCTGGTGCATCAGGTATGTTTAAATTCCTTTTATTTGCCTAGAATTTTGTTGTAGTCAGATTTTTGTTTGTCTGCAAGTACAACCAGTGCATTTGGATCTTGTAAAATTTAGTTTTTTCGTATGCAAGTTCATTAGGTTGACAGTTCTTTGAAACTTCTAAAGTTATTTGATTTGTTATTTAGAGATAGTTGAACTCCTACCTGACTTGTTAAACATGTAAGTAGAAATGTAAACAGGTCAGCAGAATTTGTGAATGAGTGAGAGAGAGATGATCTAGTCTTCATGTTGTTTAAGAAAAAACTCCTAGTGTTATAACAATGTTCAGCTGCCACTTCTTCCTGAACTAGGACAATACGTTTATCTGAGAAAATTTTCAATAAATGCTTGTGAGTTGTCTCATATGAAAGCAGTTATTCGTCCCTGTACTTTTATTTTGAAGATTAAATTATGATGCTATTACCATGTTTATTTATTTATTTTTATAATTTACCCTAGGTGGGGATGGAACAGGTACATGCTCAACAGATGAAACCAAGTAATCCCTTTTCTTCTCAATTTTTTTTTTTTTTTAAGTCCTAACTTTCTTCCTCAATTTGTCCGGTTGTTGGTAAAAATTGTAATTAGTGCCAATAGAGATATGTTTATAGTCATAAAAATCTCCTCTCTCAAGATATCTTTTGTACGTATACTTGGGTTTAGTATGTTTTGATCGGGATGACAAAAACTTAGTATTTGATGATATTGTGTCTTCTAGGTGGGGAGATATTACAGGTATTGAATTGGTAAATGGTCAGAATGCTTGTGTTACTTTGATAGTAAGGTTGGGGTAGCCAATATATTAATCAGGTTGATGTTATAATCTTTTTATTGTTATTTACAGGGCATTAATTATAACAAGTTTCAAATGACTGATAGTTCAAGTTTTCTGAATTATGTGTGTGTGGGAAGGTATCTCATTTTTATTGTATTTCATCAAAACTTTCAGGAAGGAGCTTTTGAAAGCTATCGATGTACGCCTTCTTGCAGTTAAGCAGGACTTAGTCACAGCTTCTGCTCGTGCATCAGCTGCTGGTTTTAATCCTAATACAGTGTCTGACCTTAAACTCTTTGCTGATCAATTTGGTGCCCATCGCCTAACGTAAGTACTCTTAAAAAATCTTCTATTTGACTCGTGTTTTAGTGCCTACTAATACCACATATCTAGATCTTGATCTTTCTGCCTCTGGGTAGTGTACATGGATGAGATAGAGTCTGAACCACATATTTGGCAGTAATCTAGGATTGTGTTTCAACTTCTGAGGAAGTGGATAAGAAAAGGATTTTCTCTTCCATGCTGGAGTGTCAAACATGGGAAATGTGCAGAGGAAAATGTTGAACTCTAGTCTTTGGAATGGCACTTGGGTGGATTGTCCTTCCAACATACATGTATCTTAGCAAGAGACTGTGATTTCCTTGCCATATCAGAAATTTGTGTTTTACTTGTTCCTTTCTAGAATTTGGTTATAGGAGGTTGGATAACTCATATAGTGAGAGAATGCCACTCTTTTCATTTCAAGAATTTGTGTTATGGTTGGTTTCACACTATAATCTAGTGAAAACCCCGAGGGTAAAAAAAAGGGATAATGACATAAGGTCCTACTTGCAGAAATACAGTCATTTGAAGTGTCGGCACCCTAAAACTCGTCACTCAATTTGTGAAAATTCTGCTATTTTTCTCTAGATATAGACTCCAAAGAGCAACGAAAAAATAATTTTCCACAAAGTTTTCCTCTTCCACGAAGTAAGGGTTGCAAGAGAATCTCTGCCATCATAACCGGTTGACTTTATTAGCAAATAGGAATTCACAACATGCCAAAAGATCACAAATTATGGAACCAGAGATTCCAAAGTTATATCTCCGAGGAAATATGATTCAAATCCTCTGGTATCTGTTTGAAAGGGACTCACCAACAGCGGCGTAGTATCAAAGAAGACATTCTAGTCTCACTAAAAAAAAATTGACTTTCTAGATGTTTATCTATCAGACCTTGGGAGCAGGGGGGTAAGGGGAAGGCAATGGGATCTGACCATCATTCAATTTGGGGATAGACTCACTCTCACAACTTGTATATAGCTGGAAGAGAAGCCAAATCATTGAATCCTCCTTTTGGTGGTGCTCCTAATGGAAAAAAGTAGAAGAGAGCCCCCAATAAAAGTACAGTGGATAATTAGCAAAGACCACTGAAGAGACGAGGAAAAAGGGAACAGGAGGCATTGTCAATCATATGATCCTCCGAACTGAATAAAAATCTGATCCTCGCGAGGTTATCAGAATGCTATTATAGTATCTCATCCATTAGGAGGGTAAATACTATGTGTGCTTACCTACAAAATGTTAAGTTCTACTGGAAACTCCTCATCCATTTTGAAAAGGGCGCTTCTATTTTTTGAAGTTGAATTCTATATCTCCAAAACATCTGCACCTCCCACCAAATATCGAATGTGAGCCAGTGACCTCTCCCATCCCTTTTTTTTCATAAAAAGTCCCTCATCTGTATCTCCAACCCAGTAGAAATAAAACTTGGGATTTTAAAAATGGGTAGAAAGTATGGAAGAATGCCACTTCAAATTGACTGAATCAAGGCGAATCTACCCACTGGGCAACTTTAAAAGAGAGAAGTGTGTTCTTGTTTTCGTATGTTTTTGACCTTTATAGCAATGAGATCCTATAGGGAAAGGAGATCTATGATCATATGGTTCAGCGGGAAACCTGAAAAAAATAAATAAAAGGTAATTTAACCACCTGCAATTTGGGACCTAAGCTTCTACCAAGTTTAGAAGATTTACATTTAATTCTGCTACTGTATGCTAGTCCTTGATTATTTTGAGTCCTGAGCTCCAAAAGGGATTCAGAACGAACTCGAATTACAGTCCAACTAATTTCTTCCACAAAGAAAAATGAAAAAAAAAGAGTTTCATCCATGAAAAGGTAGGTTATCTGAACCTTATGTCTCCCATTATGGTTGGCTTTGATTAGTGGGATCAATTTAGCTTATTGCTTATTGTTATTAAAGCAGCATCAAACTAGTTGAGCATTTCTCACCCTGCATAATGTACTGGCGAACACCTTCACCATGGTGTTTGCCTATGCCACCATTGTTGTTGTGTGTCGCCGCCGTGGAAGACTAATGTGGCTAGTGGCCGGTGAAGAGAGGCAATATCTGGCATTTAGATCCAGTATTTTTTTCCCCCCTATTTTCTTGGAAAATTTTCCACAAAGTGGGGTAAGAAGGAGAAGCAAACCAAGAAGCAGCCTTTGATTTTGCACTCTATCAAAGAAAGAAAACTCTATTCTGAGTTTGCAGTTACTAAAATTCAGATTTTGCAGATTCTATTCTGATGTTTGTAGTGACTAAAATTAAGGTTTTCTTTATTCTTCCTTCTCAATCCTTCCCTTGTATTGACAGTTTCTCTCTCCTTTTTTTATTTTATTTTAAATTTCTACTTATAAAAAAAATCCAAGCATTTTTATGGTCTCCAAAGTATAATTTTTATTCCAACTTATCATTTAAACATTAAAAGAAGGAACGGGAAAGCTTCTTCACTTTTGACATTTCATTCATTGCTCTTATTAATGTCTAAATGTTTGCTAAAAACTATTGAATGTGAATGGGGTATATTATTGTCTCTTTTATAGATTAAATAACCATTTTAATGTTCAATCATCACAGGATTACCTTGGCTTTTCTAAAATCATCATCGTGTACTATTGTATTTGCACACTCATTTGATTAACTCACACCTCTCTTGTCCTAAGTCGCTGATTAGGGCGCATTCCCTGCCCTCAAGAAAGAGGTTAGAGGTTCAAATTCCCCCTGCCCACAAGATTAGAAAAATAAAAAAGTCAATTTAGTGATTTGTCATTTTTGTCCTGTCTTAAAACAGCCACATTAGTTAGTTTCTGATTATTTGTGGGATTGTGGCACCAAAAACCAGAACTTGTCCATGTTAGTTACCGAGCTCTGATTGGGATGGAAATTATATTCCTCCTTTGGAAAACATAGATTGGGGGCAGTGAATAATTGACAAACAGTTACAAAGATGAAAGTAATATTCCCAGTTATAGCAGATATATTAGTGACGACATTTATTGGGTCATTTCCAAGACATTGCATGATGTGCGTTCTCCACTTCTAATCTCGGTTTTGCTCAAATAACTGTTTCACTGTGGTTTAATGTAGCATTTCAATTTTTGCAGCGAAGCATGCTCTAGTTTCATCTCTCTTTGTCGGAGGAGGGCAGAACATATCAACACATGGGCCCCTGGAGTCGATGACAGAGCTGTCAGATCATCATGCGAGTCAGACATGTCCATCGATGACCCCACTGAAGACTCTGTTGGAACCCACATCAATCCACAATACCAAACACATAATAAGCACAATCCACAATCTGGTACAGCTTCACGAATTGAAGAACAGCATTCCCACGTGGACGAATCAAGGCATACCGCGTGTCAACCAGCCAAATCTTCTGCCACCTTCCCAAGTCAATGCAACATAAACTCGAAAGGCGACACAGGGGTTGAGACATTACCTGAAAACTTGGAGAAAGAGAAGAATGAAGAAGAGACTCCGGCAAAATCATCAACTCCTGTGGGTCCCCTGGCCAGGCGTCTTAGTGTCCAAGATCGCATTAACCTTTTTGAGAACAAACAGAAGGAAAATACTGGTGGCAGTGGAGGGGGCAAGCCCGTTTCTGGGAAACCTCTGGAATTGAGAAGGCTCTCGTCGGATGTGTCATCAGCACCTTCGGTGGTGGAGAAGTCGGTTTTGAGGAGATGGAGTGGTATCAGTGATATGAGCATTGATTTCAGTAATGAAAAAAAGGACACAGAGAGCCCATTATGCACCCCTTCCTCATCTTCAATTTCTGATACTAAGTCTAATATATTTTCTGGTGCAACAGAAATTCAAAGTGAGAAGAGCTTGCCTGATTTGGATAGTAGGACTAGGCTCGAAAGAAGGGGAAGTTTTGTTCGACCTGGTGATGATGAGCCCACACAGCAAGCTGAGGAACAAATTACAGTTGAGGCTTATACAGGTAAAGAGGCTGGCGCATCGAAGGTACCGATTGGTTGGAAGGACCAATCATCTTCTCTGCCAATCAGGTCATTCTCTAGTGGAGCTGAACCAGTTGGATTGAACGAACGAGGAGATTCTCAGGGAAATGTAAAGAATTTATCGAGCAGTGATGATAAAGGTAAGGGCTTTAAAGGTGGATTCGGTTCTGAGACACAGGTGAGAAGTTCTTCAGATCAAGCTGAGATTGATGGAGTCAAGAATCAGGCTGCGTCCCAAGTTAATGCTTTTGTTAAGAAGGCAGGGGATGATGCAGCTGATGGTAGGTTAGGGAATAAGATGGAGGATTCCGGGCCAAGAGATTATTCAGGGTATCTGTTACGTCCTAGTGGTTCTCAAAGTCATTCTCGTTCTTTTTCTAACCAATCTGAATGTGGTGGAATAAAACTGGAATCCTCATCTACTCAGTCCATGGAAGTTGATCGTGGCCAAGTTCCTCAACAACGGAGATCTCTTAAAGCTGAACCAGAGGCAGTGGCTAGCAAGAATATTGCATCATCAAATATGCATAATCTTAAAGTTGATGATTTTGGAGCTCAGAAAATGAAATTGCCAAAACCTGATTCGGCTGGCCGTAAACAAGTGGATAAGTCACAAGTTGGCAGAGAAGAAAGCAGTTTTCTTCATGAAAGAAGTAAATTGGACATGATTGGGAAAAATGTTATAGATAGCCACGAAAGAACTCCCACATTCTCAAGCATACCAGGAGAGCGAATTCAAAAAGTGAGGCAGACTAAGGGAAATCAGGAGCTCAATGATGAACTAAAAATGAAGGCAAATGAACTAGAAAAGCTTTTTGCAGAGCACAAGCTCCGTGTTCCAGGGGACTCCAGCTCTGCAAGGAGAAACAGTACTGCTGATGTGCAGCTAGAAGAGGCAATTAGTTCGCAGCACAGATCATCTTCAGTTATGGACACTGCTCCTGCAGAAGTGGTGGAAAGATCTGCGGTAGAATCAACGAGGAGTTCCAATAAATTGGAAAATATTTACACAACTCCAGCAAAAATGATCAATAACCATGACTTCAGTGATGATTCTAGAGGAAAATTTTATAACAAGTATATGCAGAAAAGAGATGCTAAGCTGAGGGAAGAATGGACTTCCAAAAGAGCAGAGAAAGAAGCCAAGATGAAGGCCATGCAAGATAGCCTTGAGAAAAGTAAAGCTGAGATGAAAGCAAAATTTTCTGGTTTTGTCGACCGACAAGATTCAGTAGATAGTGCTCGGAGACGTGCGGAGAAACTCAGATCATTCAACTATCGCTCTCAAACAAGGGACCAGGTATCTTTTCAGTTTAATTTTTATTTGGCATGCTCGTGACTCTGAAGTCCTGGGCTATCTCTCTCCCTCCCTCTAGCTCAATTTTGTTTTTTTTGTTTCTTGTCTTGCGTATTTGTCATTCTCATTTCTTGTTTGTTTGTGATGATGTTAAATCTTTCTGCTTAACAGCCAATGATCAATTCAAATCAAAGTGAGGATGATGGGGACTTTCCTGAGGTTTTGGAGCAGAAATTTTATGGGAATGATAGATTACACAGTGATTCATATATATCGGACAGTGCTTCTAGAAGCAACCAGAACAAGAAGGCTCTGCCAGGCAGAAAATTATCATCTACTCCTCGTCCCACTGGGACTTCTGCTCCACCCCGGTCACTTGCCAAAGTTTCCCACTCTAGTTCTGCGAAGCGAAGAGGACAAACAGAAAACCTTCTTGCACAGTCGGTTCCTAATTTCTCTGAAATGAGGAAAGAAACTACAAAACCTTCTGGAGTTGGCAAATCAATGGCACGCCCCCTGGTGAGGAATTATTCTCGTAATAAAACTACCAATGAAGAGCCAGTCATTAAGGAGGAGAAGCATCGTCGTCCACATTCTTCAAGAAAGAACTCTGCTAGTGCTATTGAATTCAAGGATATATCCCCTTTGAATGCAGACAATGTTGTTTCAGCACCATTGTCATTTGATGAAGAGCAGAACGATGATAGCATTTATGATAAATATTTGAAGAACATAGAATCAAAGCCTTTCCTGAGGAAGGGCAATGGCATAGGCCCTGGTGCTGGAACACGGATGACGATGTTGAAAGCTTCTATGGAATCTGGACCTTCAAAAGATGATGAAGAATTTGATGAAGCGGCCTTTGAGGGTTCTGAAATTATGGCCAACGAAGAAGAGGAAGAAGAGGAAGAGCTTGAGAAAATGGAAACTAAATTTGCTCATATGGATAATGGAAAACTAAGATTAAACCAGGAATCAGATAGATCAAGTAATTCTGGGTCTGAAATTGAAAATTCTATGAGATCTCACTCTCATTCTCAGGTGGATCATTCTTCAGTGTCTGAACTTCCCTCCATGGTGCCTTCATTTCACAAAGCAGGGTTACTTCAGGATTCGCCAGGTGAGAGCCCTCTCTCATGGAACTCACGCATGCATCACCCATTCTCCTACCCACATGAGGCCTCTGATATTGATGCATATATGGACTCCCCACTTGGGAGCCCTGCATCATGGAATTCACATAATATAACACAAGCAGAAACTGATGTGGCTAGAATGAGAAAGAAATGGGGAAGTGCCCAGAAGCCTTCTCTTATTGCTATGTCATCCAGTCAGTCGTGCAAGGATATGGCGAAGGGGTTTAAAAGGTTGCTAAAATTTGGAAGGAAAAGCCGAGGGACAGATAGTATGGTTGACTGGATCTCTGCTACAACATCTGAGGGAGATGATGATACTGAAGATGGGCGAGATCCTGCTTGTAGGTCATCAGAAGATTTGAGGAAGTCAAGAATGGGATTCTCAGAGGGCCCTGATGATGGCTTTAATGAAAGCGAGTTGTACTGTGAACAGGGTAACCTACGTTTGTTGTATTGATTTGTTGATATCGTCTTTTATTTAATTTGCATGGAACATCCATTGAAAATATGCCCATTTAGGAGTTAAGTTAGAGTAATATTTATGCTTTGGTTTTCCTCGGGTTAGCGATTCAAACATGAAATTTGCTTATTTTGAAGAAAAAAAAAAGAAAAAAATTTGCTTTTTTTAAAAAAAATTCTTTTTTGATTGGCTAAAATTGGTTTAAGCTGCTCCATTGTGAATAGTCGCGACTCGTGATCGTAATATTTCGTGTTTTGATTGTTTTTATTTTAGAAATCATGATGGTAGCAATCTATAAAAATCACATTGACCATTTACTGTTATCTACTCACATCTAGACCTTTTTCTTCTTCTTTTCTCCGATCAACTCCTATGGATTGGCTCCTTTTTATCTAGGGATGATGAGAATTAGAATTCACTTATCTATCTTCGTTTTGCTGCCCCCTGCAGTTCAAGAATTACAAAGTTCGATTCCTGCGCCACCGTCTAAGTTCAAGCTAAGGGAGGATCACATGTCAGGAAGTTCCCTGAAAGGTGAGTGCTTGTTGGTGTTATTGGCTATGTTTTCATTTACTTTGCTAATGACCTAAATGTATATGCCTGTACTGTTTTTGCTCTAATCCTGCATTGCCTGGGGAATATAACGAAGTTCAAAAGGACTTTTTGCTAGTTTTATGCTTTCAGCTAGAGGGGTAACTTGGAAATGATTTTTGTAGTTGTTCCTGGATCTTCACATCTTCTGCATTATGTTTATAAGAGTTTTTACTTTCCTTAAAACAATGAAGAAGAAAGTGCACTTCTAATATGGGAAGATTGAAATTTTACAGCTCCACGATCATTCTTCTCTCTCTCGACGTTTCGCAGCAAGGGAACTGATGCAACGTCCAGGTAATAGACACGGCAGATTTCCATGTAAGATCACTGTCTTGTTATCCCTGAATAGGATACAACAGTTGGTATAGTGTAAGGCACAAGCGCTTGAAGGTAATAGCGAATCGAGTTCTGCAATTCGATCATCATGTACATGTTAATTTGATTCACAAGACCAACCGACCGACCACCCGACCACCTACATCATTAGGTAGTTATATATCTGTTAGTTGTGTTGAATTAATTAAGCAAGCATTCTGTATTGAACAATATGAGTTAATTGTTGGCAAAATGTCATTGTGATTTTGGTAGTCTTAGGAGCATTTTTTAAAAGTTGGTTCTGCTCTTCGTTTGCTCTGAGGGTTTAGTTTTGTGTGGTGTATATCTGAAGGAGCTCATGTCAAGAACAGAATTGTTGAGTGTGATATAATTATATGCATAATAAAAGCTTTTTTTTTGCACGATTACTCTTGTTAAGTTGAGCTGATGGTTTGGTAATTCTCTGTTTCTATGCCCTTCAAGTGGCAGTTGGAAGTGTAATTAGACTTGAAAAGTCTTATTGTTCTAATGTTTCCATGTTCAAATGTCAAGTCGGATCGGATGATATCTTATTATCTAATAGAGCTATGTTTATGTTGACATATAGTGAGTGACAAGCAAGAGACAAAACTTTGTTGTGTTTTTTTAGGTGGGAAAATTAAAGCTTTGTACCGTTGATAATGTATGGTCCTGTTTATCTTTTTTTCCTACATTTTCATTACCGTCAGGTTTTGTTGACATATCACCATAAATACTTTTTTGATACATAAAACTTCTATTTATGGGTCTAAATATAACCAAACAATGTAATACTCGTGGACATTTATTTTTTTGGCGCTTTTTTTGTGTTACTGAGCAGAGATGTCCAAAGGATAGAGATGGAGAAGTGTTCTTCGATTTTGTTCTCATTTTCGTCTCTTATTTCAATCTTATTGTGAAATTATTTATTTATTTTTTTAGGAATTCATGAATACCCTAAAGAGGGTTGGATGAAAGTCCATGCTAATTTAGAGAATGATCGTTTATAATGTAATTAAGAAATACTATCTCCTCGGAGTCCTTTTGAAGAAGCCCAAAGCAAAATCATGAGCTCATGAGTCATTGGAGGCCTTTTGGAGAAGCCCGCCCAAAGCAAAATCACGAGAGCTTACATTCAGCAAAATCATGAGAGTTTGAACCATAAGCTTACCTTCAGCAAAATCACGAGGGATTGTGCTCAAAGTGAACAATAAGCCCAAATCAAAATCACGAGAGCTTAGGCTCAAAAGCAAACAATATTTATCATTGTAGAGATGAAAGAGAAGCGAATCGATCTAAGAGGATGAAAATGAGATAAGAGACCCGATTTAAGAGGATGAAAATGAGATAAGAGACCGAGACAAAAAATGGAAAACGTTTCCCTATCTCCACCCTGCCCAGTGGACATCTATACTCAAATTACTCAAATAACAGTGGCGATGAAACCAACCAAAACCGCACTTCCTGCACTCATTCACATGTAAAGAATACCGCCATTTTCATTTTCTTTACAACCTCAACCAAATGGCAATAACGACAACCCCACCACTTCTTCTCAATCTGCCGGCCTGCAGCTTCCTCTGCATCCACATTTGGCCTTGGAATCTCAGTTCAAACGGATTAAGCTTCCGCACCTTTCAATCACTATTCGGTAATCTTCCTTGTAATATCCTCAACCCCAATTTTTTTATTCCGACCTCTCGTTTTCTGTTCTGTTCTTCTAGATTTACAGTTGTTGTTTCGTTCTAAATTTCTTCGTGTTATTGGGATTCTCGCTTAATGGACAAATTCTTCCAAGTTTTTTGTACACAAGAACAAACCACATTTTGTTCAAATTTGTTTTTCCACCACTTTTGTAATCTCATCCTTTTGTTAGTTCTGAATCTCCATTCTCGGCCATGTCCGCCGCCTCCGGTCATCGGCACCACCATCCGACGCCCGCGAGTTCAACGGACGTCTCTATTTCTTTTTCCCCGATTGATTCCTCCATTATTTCAAGAAAATCCAATCCCAAAAGACGGCCTCTAATCCCTGCTCCAGCCACTCCCTTCGCCACTGACGATGATAAATCATGGCAAGGGGAAATCTCATGGCAGTTCAAACCAACTGGATGGCGAGATTCTCGCAATTTGGGCATAGCCTTAGGTCCCTGGGCCGCCTCCGTTGCGCCATCTTCATTTTCCAGTAGCAGAGTCTTTCGCCGAACCGCTAATGATTACTATCTTTCTCCTTCTCGCCGTGTTCGCCGGAGATCTCCGAGTCCGTACAGAGATGGTTCCGGCTATGTTCCGGCCGGCAGAATGGAGTTACAGAGCTTTGTGGGAAGAGAAACAGAGAACTCGTTATTCATGGGAGAAAGTAACATTCCCGGTGAAACCAGTAAAATCAGCTCTTCTTCCGGCTGGAAAGATGAAAGTAAAGATCCCTTGGCTAACAAGGATGTTCGTAGCAAGAATTATCATGATGTTTCTGAACATGCTTATAGCTTTGAACGTAGTGGGATGTATTCTTCCTATACTGATGATACTGTTTCGGATGATGGTGAGGATGAGGATGAAGTGGAGCCGGCTAAGGCAGTTGGGCTCTTTAGCTTGTTTAAGTATTCAACGAAGTTGGATTTGCTTCTTATAACTTTGGGCTGTTTGGGAGCTCTCATCAATGGCGGATCTCTTCCTTGGTATTCCTATCTTTTTGGGAATTTTGTCAACCAGATTGCTACAGAATCGTCTGAAGCTGACAAGGGCCAGATGATGAGAGATGTTGCAAGGGTATGAGACCAATAATTTCCTCTTACTTCCCAATTTATGATTAGTTTGGAATGATTCTGGAAAATGTGTTCTACAACTTCTTGCCTAAATTTGCAGATATGCCTGTTCATGACTGGATTAGCAGCAATAGTGGTGGTTGGAGCATATTTGGGTAAGAGGGAGATTCCTGTAAGATAGCATTTCAGTAACTTTCCTGCGAACATAGGATCCTTAAGCTGTAATTTTGACAGAGATAACCTGTTGGAGATTGGTGGGGGATCGATCGGCTGAACGGATTAGAACAAAGTATCTACGAGCCATTCTACGACAGGATATCAGCTTTTTCGACATGAAGATTAGCACAGGTGATATCATGCATGGAATTTCCAGTGATGTAGCTCAAATCCAAGAAGTAATGGGGGAGAAGGTAATATACTGATATTGTTTATGCTAACTTTAATATCATATTCTGATTCTTTGAATGATATCTTTCTGTTATTGCAGATGGCTCACTTCATTCACCATATATTCACCTTCATATGTGGGTATGTAGTAGGTTTTCTAAGGTCATGGAAAGTTTCTTTGGTTGTCTTCTCAGTGACTCCACTTATGATGTTCTGTGGCATAGCTTACAAAGCCATTTATGTTGGCTTAACTTCAAAAGAAGAGGTAATTTGATATGACCTTTACGATCCATCCTTTATATGTTGTGTTCTTAAGCCTTTTTCCATTATTCCTTTGAAGGCTTCCTACAGGAAAGCTGGGGGAGTGGCAGAGCAAGCCATCAGTTCAATCCGAACTGTGTTTTCATTTGTTGCAGAAGATAACCTGGCTGCTAAGTATGCTGAGCTCTTGGAAAACTCTGTGCCGTTTGGGAAGAAGATTGGATTCTCAAAGGGTGCTGGAATGGGAGTTATCTATCTGGTCACTTACTCAACGTGGGCTTTGGCTTTCTGGTATGGAGCTATCTTGGTTGCCCGGAATGAGATCACTGGTGGCGATGCAATCGCTTGTTTCTTTGGCGTCAACGTTGGAGGAAGGTAATGTTAGGAATCACGAACCTCCACAATCGTATGATATTGTCCACCTTGAGCATAAGCTCTCGTAGCTTTGCTTTGGGCTTTCTCAAAAGGCCTCATACCAATGGAGATGTATTATTTACTTATAAACCCAGGATCATTCCCTAAATTAGCCAAGGTGGGACTCCCTCCCATCAATCCTCCCCTCGAACAAAGTACACTATAGAGCTTCCCTTGAGGCCTATGGAGCCCTTGAACAACCTCTCCTTAATTGAGGCTCGACTTCTTTTCTAGAGTCCTCGAACAAAGTACACCCTTTGTTCGACACTTGAGTCACTTTTGACTACACCTTCTAGGCTCACAACTTCATTGTTCGACATTTGAGGATTCTAATTGACATGGCTAAGTTAAGGGCACGACTCTATACCATGTTAAAGAATCACGAACCTCCACAATGGTACGATATTGTCCACTTTGAACATAAGCTCTCGTGACTTTGCTTTGGGCTTCTTCAAAAGGGCTCAGAGATAAAAAATAAAAAAAATAAAAAAAAAATTTAAACTTATAAATATAATATATAATTGGCCAACGTCCCTCCCAACAACAATCCTCAACAACAGCATTAGCCATTTCTGTATTTGAAATCTTTTTAAAGTTCGGAAAGAAACTTGTAGGCCTTGATTTCACAGCAATGAACATGTTCTCTTATTGTGACACAGAGGATTGGCTCTGTCACTATCATATTTCGCTCAGTTTGCACAAGGAACAGTAGCAGCAGGCAGAGTTTTCACAATCATAGACAGAGTTCCAGAGATAGATTCTTACAGCCCATTGGGAAGAACACTCCCAAATGTTCGTGGAAGGATAGAGTTCAAGGGCGTCAGCTTTGCATACCCATCTCGTCCAGACTCCCTGATTCTGAATTCATTCAATCTGGTGTTCCCATCTTCAAAGACACTCGCTCTTGTTGGTGCCAGTGGCGGTGGTAAGTCCACTGTCTTTGCTCTCATAGAGAGGTTCTACGACCCCATTGAAGGTACGTATTTATGAAGCCAAGCTTGTGTCTCAAATCTGTTTGTGAGCTTAAAGAAGGGAAATTAGAATAGAGTTCATGGGATTTGGTGCAGGGACGATCAGTTTGGATGGGTGTGATATAAGGACACTGCAAATCAAGTGGCTGAGAGATCAGATTGGGATGGTGGGTCAAGAACCCATCCTTTTTGCCACAAGTATTATTGAGAACGTTATGATGGGGAAGGAGAATGCTACTGAAAAAGAGGCCCTTTGGGCCTGTGTTGCTGCAAATGCTGATACCTTCATCTCTGGTCTTCCACATGGCTACGACACCCAGGTTCATTTACCTAACTTCTGCTTTGCTCAAAATGAGCTGCACATCTTTTTGGAAAAACTTTATTTATAGGTAATTGTTTTCATCTCATATTTTTTTGTTTTTCTTTTCTCCCAAAAACAGAAATTGTTTTTTTTCTCAATTTTTGAGACCGTTCACGCCTACTTCTAGCGGATAATGTCCTCTTTCGACTTTCGTTTTAAAAGTTGGAGAGAGGTTTACACCTTTATAAAGAATAATTTGTTTTCCTCTTACGTGGGATCTCACAATCCACCATTGGAGTCGGAGAGGTTTCCACGCTTTTATATGGAATGTTTTGTTCCCTCTTCAACTGATGTGCAATGTCTCTTCAACTGATGTGCAATGTGAGATCTCACAATCCACCTCTTGAGGCTAGCGTCCTTGATGCAAGCCGCCATGTGTCTAGCTTTGATACTATTTGTAACAACACAAGTCCACCTCTAGCTTTTTATCTTTGGGCTTTCTCTTTCGTGCTTCCCTTTGAAGTTTTAAAACGTGTCTGCTAAGTTTCATTCCCCTCTCTAACCAACGTGAAATCTCTTAATTTCTTTATTTTATCTTTTCACGAAATATTAGAATTCTTAGTCAAATTTTAAAATTTAAAAAAAAAAATATTGAAAAGCTTATTTCTTAGTTTTATAAAATTAATATGAATTTTTAAAACTATGATGAAGTTTTGAGTCTAAACTTTGTATTTTCTTTTCTTCAACTCATTTGGTTTTAGTCTGTCTCAAGTAACATGGGGTTCTGGGCAGGTTGGAGACAGGGGAACTCTACTTTCCGGCGGTCAAAAACAGCGAATAGCATTGGCACGAGCAATGATCAAAGACCCCAAAATTCTTCTCTTAGACGAACCAACAAGCGCATTAGACCCAGAATCCGAGTCTGTAGTTCAAAAGGCCATCGATCAACTTTCTTTAGGCCGAACAACAATTGTTATCGCTCACAGGCTTGCAACTGTCAGAAACTCCCACGCCCTTGCTGTCATTGAACATGGCTCCGTCGTCGAAATTGGTACCCACCATCAGCTTGTGGAACGACAAGGCGCTTATTACAACCTTGTCAAGCTCGCATCCGAAGCAGTTCGAGAAACTTCTCTCAACCAAAATGATGCTCAGAAATTCACCGATCTTTCATTGAGTGATATCTCGAAGTCAGAGTATGTTGTTGAGCTTTCGAAGTCGGAGTACTTCAAATCTTCTGTAGAGGAGGATCAAGAGGGGAAGAAAGAGGAGAAGCGAAGAAATGTTAGAACTTTAGAAATATTGAAACTACAAAAGCCAGAGCTTCCAATGCTACTATTGGGATGTCTCATGGGTTTGAATGCAGGAGCCATTTTGTCGATTTTTCCTTTCATTCTCGGAGAGGCCCTTCAAGTTTATTTCGATAGTGAAACTTCATCAAACATGAAAACGAAAATTGGGCGTTTGTGTATAGTGCTGGTTGGGTTGGGGATTGGCTCCATTCTGTTCATGACAGGGCAGCAAGGCTTTTGTGGTTGGGCTGGAACCAAGCTCACAGTGAGAGTGAGAGATCATTTGTTTAGATCAATACTGAAACAAGAGCCTGGTTGGTTTGATTTCCCTGAGAATTCCACTGGAGTTCTCATTTCTAGGCTTTCGATTGACTGCATCAATTTTCGTTCGTTTCTCGGTGATCGAATCTCGGTCTTGTTGATGGGATTAAGTGCAGCTGCAGTTGGCCTTGGTATCTCATTTTGGCTTGAATGGAGATTGACCCTGTTGGCTGCTGCTCTAACTCCTTTCACTCTTGGTGCCAGTTACATAAGCTTGATTATCAATATTGGACCAAAACTTGATGAAAATGCTTATGCCAAAGCTAGCAACATTGCTTCAGGTGCAGTGTCAAACATAAGAACAGTGACGACATTTTCGGCACAAGAACAGCTGGTTAAAGCCTTTAATCGATCGTTATCCGAGCCGAAAAAGAAATCAGTTAAAAGGTCGCAAATCTTAGGCTTCACATTTGGCTTCTCCCAAGGTGCCATGTATGGAGCTTATACTCTTACTCTCTGGTTTGCTGCACGCCTCGTCCAACAAGGCAAAACAAGTTTTGGTGATGTGTATAAGATTTTCCTCATTCTTGTTTTGAGCTCCTTTTCTGTTGGACAGCTTGCGGGTTTAGCACCGGATACTTCCATGGCAGAGACTGCAATTCCAGCTGTGTTGGATGTCATCAATCGAACGCCATTAATAGGCGACGAGAAAGGAAAAAGTAAGAAGGAACGGTTGACAAATTTTGACGTCGAATTTAAAATGGTGACATTTGCATACCCTTCTAGGCCTGAGGTGATTGTGCTAAGGGACTTCTGCTTAAAGGTTAAAGGATGCAGCACAGTAGCTTTGGTTGGTGAGAGTGGCTCGGGAAAATCGACGGTGATATGGCTGACTCAACGATTTTACGATCCGATTCGGGGGAAGGTGCTGATGGGAGGCGTGGATTTGAGGGAGATCAACGTGAAATGGTTGAGGAGGCAAACAGCTTTGGTTGGTCAAGAGCCTGCACTGTTTGCTGGAAGCATAAGAGACAACATTGCATTTGCCAGTCCAAATGCCTCGTGGTCTGAGATTGAAGAGGCTGCTAGAGATGCTTACATTCACAAGTTCATCACTGGCCTCCCTCAAGGATACGAAACACAGGTTAAAAAACTCATGTATAGAATTATAAAACATTACTGAATTTGCCCAATGACCTCTTTATGGTTTCTGTGATCATAGGTTGGCGAGAGCGGGGTTCAACTCTCGGGAGGCCAGAAACAACGGATAGCGATAGCGAGGGCGATTCTAAAGGATGCAAGTGTGTTGTTGCTGGATGAGGCGAGCAGTGCACTGGACCTGGAATCCGAAAAACATGTCCAAGATGCACTTAGGAAGGTGTCAAAGCAAGCTACTACAATCATAGTCGCACATCGACTTTCAACTATCCAAGACGCTGATATGATTGCAGTCGTTAGAAACGGCTTGGTCGTCGAGCATGGCAGCCACGACACCCTAATGGCCAAGGCTCATTTCGACGGTGTGTATGCAAACATGGTTCATGCTGAATCTGAAGCCACTACATTTTCTTAGCCTAATTTCTCAGCTTTGTATTTACTCAAATCGAGTTCATATCAACGAACCAACATAGTTTTCGATCTGATAAAGATGTAAATTTATATCTGAAACGAGAAAGAACAGGAGGATTCTTCTATTACTTCACACGGTTTTCAGGCCAAAAAAAATGACACTATTCTTGTCCATTTTTTGAGCTATGAATTATTATCTACTCTTTATGATGCTTGCTTAAGTGGGAACATTTCAAAAGAAATCTGGCCTCCATTCACAGTACTTCAAGCTTCAGAGACAAGGATTTCATGCCCATAAAGACAACAGCTTCACCAGAAAGCACAAAAATGTCAATCATGCATTCATTTACCCTACAAAATATAGATTCAAAAGTAGGGTTTAGCAGCCATTGTTCGTTAAAGACAAATTGTTCTAACGTTGATTACATAACCATTAGAAAAGTGACATCTCAATGGCTTTACCTTTTTGACAAGGCCTGCTTTCCCACCATTGAAATGGGTAACACAATGAACAAGATACCTATATAAAATGACCATATTACCCCCAACTGAAACCACCATCTAACCTTGCTACATGGTGGCAGATATGACATTTCACCACAGGAAATGGGCCACATCCATTACTTTGCTTTTAAGCCAAGGGAAGATGGTGGTGGTTACCTGCTCATGTCGGACTTACCCCATCTATTTAGGTGCTTAGATGAGGTGAAAGTTATAGTTTCATAGTCAAAAGTGAGCAAGTTCAAGAATGGCATCTCTTATACCAGGAGTATTACTTAAACTTCTGCAGAGTATGAATTCAAATGTGAAGGTCAGAGGAGAATATCGATCAGTGCTATTACAAGTAATCAGCATTGTACCTGCTTTGAGTGGCTCAGAACTGTGGCCTAATCAAGGCTTCTTTCTAAAAGTTTCAGATTCTTCACATTCAACTTACGTTTCATTGTCCAAGCAAGATAATGAGTTGATCTTGAACAACAACTTACAGCTTGGCCAATTCTTCTATGTTGATAAAATGGAAGCTGGAACTCCTGTTCCTGTTCTTGTTGGGATCCGACCGGTTCCTGGACGACAACCTTTCGTTGGAACTCCGAAGGATCTTATGCAAATGCTAGAGCCATCAAAGAGTCCAATGCAGGCTAATCAGAAAGCAAAAAGTGGAGCTAAATCAAAGTCGATATCAGAAACAAAAAATGAGAGCATGAGACATAAAATCGTTATCAAAGAGGAAAAGGCGAATGTTTCATCACGATACATGCAGGGCGTGTTGTCGTTGAATACTAGAAGTGGTAGATTTGATTCAAATGGTGGTGGAAGGAAGCATGAAAATGAGGATGGTGAAGCAGGTAAGGATTGTTCAAAGACAGAAGCACTTCAGTTCAGTGTCAAGGAGGCTTCTGCAACATCTAAAAGCATCCCTGCAAAAGGCACTTCAAATAAGCAGGAAAATATGAATGTGAGCTGTTTACCTAAGAGAAAAGATCAAGTTCATTCATCAGAGACAGTTTCATGGGCCTCCTTGCCTACTAATCTTTTAAAGACTGGAAAAGTATGCATTCTCTTAGCTCATTCCTTTTGTTTTCTCTGTGTGTTATTAGCTTTTTCGATTCTTCATTTTGGATTTAACCATTGGTTTAGGGCTTGAGTGATCTCTAGAGTAACAACTCAAGCCCACTGCTAGTAGATATTGTCCTCTTTCGACTTTTCCCTTTGGGTTTTCCCTCAAAGTTTTAAAACGTGTCTACTAGAGAGAGATTTCCACACCCTTATAAGGAAATCTCACAATCCACCCTCTTTGGGAGCCTAGTGTCACAATCATCATTTTCTTGGTAGCGGATTTGGCGATTGTGCGGCACTTACTCCCAGCATTGAGTGAGTCAAGCCAACTTGGGATCACATCGCCTATGGCTGGGCAACGTATGCTCAAGCCCCTGGCCTCGATTTGAGAATAAGGTTTTAGAAAGTGAGGACAGAGAGATTTTGAAAGAGAGTTTGAAAGCAAGGTTGAGAGAGATTGAAAATGAGGTAATATGTTATACAAGCAAAAGGCAACAACAACGACTTAAATAGCATATAACGTTTCGGTTAGGGAGAATTTGACAACCAATCGCATCCCCCTATAGTACATTTTGATGCGATTCTAGTCTGGTAGGCCTAGATGTGATTTCGCCGAACGGTCATACAAAATCAGGGAAAAAATTGACAACTAGTCACACCCCCCTATAGTACATTCTGGGACATTTCATGTCTACTAGACATAGACATGATTTTGTCGAAACATCATACACTTAGGAAAAGCAAGAAGAAAATTATACATCAAGAAAGCGATAAAGTGATACAAGGCAAGGGTTTCGACATGTCAGGGGCATGCGTCCATGGGCAACACGCCTTAAACAAGCATGACCGTGACACCCAGTGTCCTTGCTACAGCTTTGTTCCACTCTCCAACCGATTTACGGAGGGTCCAAGTACCTCACATTACATAGATTATCTTATAGTTCCACTATCTTTACATTTCAATACCTTTGGGTTCTATCAGATACATGTGAACTTTTACTTTTTGAAGGGCATGCTAAGGAGGAAAAATATAGCTTCCATGGTAGCAATAGAAGCTCAAAAAGAGGCAACTGCTGCAGCATCTATGGTCAAGTGTCTCAGGTATATTTTTGGGGTATAAACATTAAAATAATCCACAGCTTCATACACATTGAACTTATTTCCATCATTTTTTTTCAGTGTGTTTGCTGATCTGTGCTCATCAGCCTCACCTGAGAATCCCAAACTCCCTCTCGCCAAGTTCTTCACACTTCAAGAGTTAATCTCCCAAACAAATTCCAAAGATTCAGCTAAGGACAAGTCACTTCATTTGACTGCAAACTCATCTCTGCCAGAAGCAGATAAATCTACAAAGATTACATCTTTATTTCATTCAAAGAGTGCTTCATCAAGGCCAGCAAAGGCAGCTATTGAACTAAAAGAAAGTGAAAAACAAGAATGGGCTAGAGGAGATGGTGCAAAGGAGATCAAATTACTACGAGAGGTCTTAATAAAGGAATCAACATCATGGTTTTTGAATTTCTTGGAGGAAGCTTTGAATGTTGGGTTTCATATACAAAACCAGGACAGCAAAGGCTGGAACAATGCAAGGCGACAAACGGTGGCGGACAACGATATTGCTGTTGCATTATCACAGCTCAAGCAAGTCAATGAATGGTTGGAGAAGTTAAAAGGAAACTTGAGTTCAACAGATAGTGGATTAAGGGAGACCATTGAGAGATTAAAGCAGGAAGTTTATTGTTGTTTGCTTGTACATGCCAAGTCTGCTGCATCAGCTCTTGAGAGCAGACCCGACCATCGTTGATCTAGAACAACAAATCTGAACTTTGTAAATTTTATGATAACGTAAATTATGCATCTGAAGTGACTTAATCACCTAATTTCGAGAGTTAGATCGTTCTTATCGTCGATTGGGCTGACAGATTAATCGATAGTGTATTTGAAACTATTTGTTTATGTCAACTGCACTCCCTATCCTCCACAGTTCAATACATTCTAACTCAACATGCAGATAAATGATACATCAATATCTTGCTGCATACTTAATCATATCAGAAGTGTTCAAAGTTCAAACAATATAGACAATGGTGTGAGGTGTGAGTCATGTTGAGTCATGTTAGGAATCACGGACCAACGAGAATGGTATGATATTGTCCATTTTGAGCATAAATTCTCATGGATTTGCTTTTGGTTTCCTCAAAAGATCTCATACCAATGAAGATGTATTCTTTACTTATAAACTCATGATCATCTTCTTAATTAGCTAATGTAGGACTCTCTCCCAACAATTCTCAACAATCCTCCTCTTGAACAAAGTACACTATAGAGCCTCTCCTGAGGCCTATGGAGCCCTCAAACAGCCTCCCTTAATTGAGGTTCAACTCTTTCTCTGGAGCTCTTGAACAAAGTACACTCTTTGTTCGACACTTGAGTCACTTTTGATTACACCTTCGAGGCACACAACTTCTTTGTTCGACATTTGTGGATTCTATTGACATGGCTAACTTAAGGTATACCTCTGATACCATGTTAGGAATCACGGACCCTCTATACAGTTGTATGCTATTGTCCATTTTAAACATAAGCACTCATGGTTTTACTTTTGGTTTCCTCAAAAAGCCTCATAGGAGATATATTCCTTACTTATATAAACCCATGATCATCCCCTTAATTAGTCAATGTGGGACTCCCTCCCAACAAGTCAGTCATCCGTTAACCAGTCACGTACCCAATGAACAAAATGTAGTACCGTACCTCAATTCAAAATGCAGTACCATACCTCAATTCCTATCTTCTAGAGAAGCAATGATTTTCAGCACGAGCTATATTAAGGTGAAATATAGACTAAGCTAAACACCAGCTCAAGTATTGAAGTTGAAACAAAGAAAAAGAAACAAAGTTACCCTTTCTTGCTGGATGTACCCTGCCTCTCCCACATGGCTCGCTCTTCCTACCTCCAACTGTGCCTGTTGAATAAGGCTAATTCACATTGGCCTCCTCCAGTTCTTGTCACTTGGGCATTTTAACAAACAGCTTGTAAGCATACAAAAGGAACTGCAAGAACACACATATTTAAACAGCAATGTCAGTGAGCAAACAATTGGGCACCCATCAAAATGAGTACATATATTGAATGCTAATTTAAATCAGCCAACAAAAAGATGAGAATGGCAAGCATGTTATGGGTAGGCGAGTGGATGATCTTGTTTTGTTCATCAAATAATTGAAAACCCATGAGTGGATCTAGCTGCCAAAATGATGGGTGGGGAAGAAAAGAAAAGCAAGAGAGAGCTTCAATTAAAGGTAGATATGAGCTTTACCAAATGCCACCAACCTTCGACTGACCTATCTGAAATAGCCCACAATTATTTGGAAAGGATTTAGCCATCATTTTGAACCCAACTTTTTTAAGGCTGATCGTTTTCAAAATGGCTTCGCCCAAAATTTTGTGAACTTCAAATCTGGTGACCCCACATAATTTTTTATTTGAAAAAAAAAAAGAGATTCAATTAAATCTTTTTAAAAATATAAGCTCTATTTTCCAGTTAATTTAGATAATATATATAATTGTTAAAATGAGAAATGGGATTGAAAGTCCGATTTCTATTAATGTTCATATACTAGTAACCAAATCTTGAAAATGAGGTATATTACCCACAAATTTCTAAAAACAAGGGAAAAAATTTAATTGATTACATCCGTATAAAATATAATTTTATAAGTAACTTTATATCTTAAATTAAATTTCTTAATAATAGCGCAATAAAATTTTTATGATTGGAATTGAATAATTCGAGTTAGATCGAATTTTCAGATGAATACACCTAATTTATACCTCTTTTATTTTCTTATTTATAAGATAATATGAAAAGAAATGAATATTTAAACTCGTTAACATATTAACTGCTAACTGCTAAGTTATACCTTACTTCATTCTAAATCATTAATTCTAAAATAGTTATCTTAATGTTTTCTAAACCTAATTTGAGAAAATTACAAGATTTTTTTTATTTTTTATTTTATATATATTAGAGATTTAAAGTCTCCCAATTTTAAGGTAATAATTAGAAGAAAAAAAAATCAAAATTTAAAAATTTTAAGTTTAATTTTAGTTTAGTATCAAAAGTTATATTTAAAAAGTTTTTAAAATTTTCATAAATTTTAAAAAAAAATTTAAAATTTATATGGTATTTTTAAATTTAATTATATATTAAATAATTAAAGTATATTAAAGGTGATAAAGCCAATCTAATTTAACTAATTAAAACGTATATTGAGAGTGGTTAAAAGAAAATGATAGTAATAATAATAATAATAAATAAAATAAAGGATCAATTTTTACCATTTTTGGCCTTAAAATGTCCTAAAAACTCATCTGTAAATTTTTTTTTTTTTTTTTCAGTTTTTGCATATTTGACTTGTGGCGAGCGCAACGACGCCATTTTAGGAACCTCGATCCGGTTCTGAGCTGCACACGCCGCAGACAGTAGTAATTCAATTTCGGTTTTTCCATCGAATTCCTGTCCTTTTACGAACCCTACCTTCGCCTGTTTTCGTCGTCTTTCTTCTCAGATTCATCCATCGTCATCACGGTTCCTCGGATCTTTGAAATCAAAACAGAACCTCCCGCCTGGTAAAGTCGCTAAATTCGTTGTTTTCTCTCTGTTTATTTGCTCTTTTTTGGTTGTTTTCTCGTGGGAATTTGACATTTGTGGGTTCTAAATTCCCGACGATCTATGGAAGATTGATTGATCAGTTTATCTCAGATACGATTTCTTTTGTAATCTGTAGGGAATGTTTGATTCCTTTGTTTTGGAATGCGCTATTGAATGATTGTTGGGATTTGATTTGATTTCTTTTCCAATTGTACTAAGAAAAGAAATGGGTAATTTCTTCGTGATCGGGTATGCTTGATGTGAAATGTCTATCTCTAACCAAATTAGAGTGTTAACGACGAGATCTCGTCGCTGTTCTCTTGCGTTCGTTTATTGTTATCTCTGTACGTTGATGGGGTTGCATTGTGGATTCGAAGAGTTATAGTACCATCAGAGTAATGGAATTTGTGAATTATGCTTGAGAAAATGAGCATTGATTGAAAATGGTGATGATAACTTCTTTTTCGAATATTCTGGTAATGGTACTGTATAAAGTTTATAAGGAGTTATACTTAATTTGTAGTCAATGTGGGTTTAACTAACAATATTTAGACCTTGAAAAACACGAAATGAAGAAGATGGATTTGTAAATAAAGCCATTTTCAACCTTGCATTTCACTTTCAAGGAATTACGGGACAATTTATGTCTCATGAAAACTACCTTTTTTTTCGCCGGTTACTAATTTCCCTCCTTTGATTAATGACCTTGTCATCATTATTATATGCTTGATCCTTAGTTGAGTTATCTACATGGAAACACTCCAATCATACTCAGTCATATTCTGTAAGATACCGTGGCTGACATAGTGCGATGATTTTGTCCTTAGTTGGGAGACATATCAAACTAAAGATGGTGAAGCTTACGATGGTTGCTCGTGTTACTGATGGTCTTCCTCTAGCAGAGGGACTGGATGATGGCCGTGATATGCACGATGCAGAATTCTACAAGCAGCAAGTGAAGGCTCTGTTTAAAAACTTATCAAGAGGTCAAAATGATGCTTCAAGAATGTCTATCGAGACGGGCCAATATGTTTTTCAGTATCCATATGCTATTGGCTTTTTACATTTAAATTATAGTATTCATTGGCCGGCTAGTTTGTTGTGTTTTGAACTTTTCTATCTGCATGTCCATGATGTCATAGTGTATTTGTTACTAAATAAATTAGGAAGTAGCATTGCTAGTTTACCCCTTACTCATTACACCCATTCTGATTTATTGTGGCTTATGACGGGCTAAATTGGAGATAAGATTATGCCCATTTCTATTTGTATCTTGCTGTTAAAAGGAAATAAAAATGTTAGTTAAACTGTCCCTGGAGCAAACTAATGGTATCTTGTCAATTTGTTGGTAGCTTATTGAATTTTTTTTTTTTAGACGAATGAGTTTGATGTTGAATATGAAAACTTATTTAAGTTTACCACTTCTCGAGTTCAATGTGGAGAGGAATCAACAAATGAATGTGTTTTATAAGTCTTTGTGAACTATGGGTTCTCGCTCTAAAGTGTCTAGAAGATTTTTAACTCAGATATGCTCTTGATAGACTTCATTTTACCTTAACCTTAGTTTTTAGCTATATAATTGAAGGAAGGGTCTGTTATTTGACAATGTGTGATCGTGCTTACCCAAAGAAACTTGCCTTTCAATACCTTGAAGACCTGAAGAATGAATTTGAACGTGTCAATGGGGCTCAAATTGAAACCGCTGCTAGGCCTTATGCATTCATTAAATTTGGTAAGCATTACTTGGCTTTATACAAATAACTCGTATGGACTTTAAACCTGAACTTTATTTTACTTTCCTTTTGCTTTATTTGAATTCTTGTTTCCCACCTCCTCCTTTTATGTTCAACAGATACATTCATACAGAAGACCAAGAAATTGTACCAGGATACACGTACTCAGCGTAATATTGCAAAGTTGAACGATGAACTTTATGAAGTCCACCAAATAATGACTCGCAATGTTCAGGAAGTTCTTGGTGTTGGTGAAAAATTAGACCGTAAGATATTTCCTTTTCCTTCTCTTCTTATGTTATTCAATTGTGGTTATGCATTATTATTATATGCTTGATCATTACAAGCTATAATATCTGTTAGTGTGAGTAGTTCAACTATCATTACAAGTTAAATAATATCGTTACCAGTTTCTTTGTTAATTGAAATGGTTAGCGCGAATCATATTAATTTATGTTGGTAGAGATAAATATCCTTATGGCCTTCTTGAAGGGGTTTGCAGAATCAAAATTCAGCAGTGTTAAAGATGATAATTTTCTAATTTTATACTATTTAAAATTTGCAGAGGTCAGTCAAATGTCAAGTAGGTTGACATCAGAATCCCGCATATATGCTGACAAGGCTAGAGATTTAAACCGGCAGGTCAGTGTCATACTATTGCTCGACGTGTGCTTTAATTCTGTCAAAATTGAATGTTTGCCTTAAGCACGTGAACTTCGAACAAAAATAATCTTTTAGTAATTCTGTTGATACATTTATCAGTTTTAGAAAGTAAGAAACAGAGAGTACCATTGAACCTAAAGGGAATACAACTTAAAAGCCAGAGGGCAATGGAATCCCATGCCTAGGAGGTCAGAACAAAATTCCCTCCAATCTAAACTAATCAAAAAACTGTTTTAGTTACGAAAAATCCTTGCGTGAGGCACTCGAAGTGGTAGCTATCTGCTGTAGATTTAGCCAAAAATCATCTCGTCTTCAACATTCATCATTAAAAATCCCATTGTTTCTTAACCAAATAGACCAGAAACTACAATACCCTAGCTTTGCAATTTAGCCACCATCATGAAAGAAACTCTTTGAGCCAGTCTACAATATTCATCTTGGAAACAGTCGTTGAGCCCCAAAATCTTTAAAGGGACAGTCGTTCTTTAGCCACAATCTCATAATGAATGAAAATTAGGTTGTTAGTCTCTACATCCCTTGTGCAGTTAGGAAAAATCTGAGGGAGATACAAAGGAAGAGGTTTCATATTTGAATTCTAAAGAGTGTTTGACACCTCAAATCAAATGTGAAACTTAACTTTGTCGGCAAACTGACCCTTCTAATCAGTCTTTAAAGTCTTTGAAGATTCAAATCTCTCTATCACGTCGAATGCCTAATCTTATAGGATGAAGCTCGATGGATGGCATTGTATGGAGTCTATTCCCTGTAGACTGCCATTTTTAACTATGTCTCTGGGGGCCTTATAAGATATTTTCTTTTATCATTTTGGAACATCAAATGATTCTCGAATTTCACATATCACGAGCATTAGGACTGTAATCCAAAACTGTGCATGATTTGTTGCTAACCGAACTCATAAACTTTGTCGGTCTCTCTTAGGATGCTTTCTTTTATGTCGTGTCTATGTAAAGTTCATCAAAGACCTCATTTTCAAGTGAACTTGTGTTTTCTTTAGTTGACAATCCTAATGCTTAACTTGTCGTTTCTTAAAAATTTGGAAACCCAGGCATTAATCCGAAAGTGGGCACCTGTTGCTATTGTGTTTGGAGTTGTATTCCTGCTATTCTGGTTCAAATCAAAGATCTGGTGATTCAGTTGCTGTTCCAGATAATCTTTAACTCATTTTCAGGCTTCTGTTGCTTTTAGCTGTGGCTCAATCGGTTCAAATATCAGAGACTTGAAACTGGGCTTGAGGTGACTTCT